GTCAAGCTCAAAAGTCATTTAGGTGCTCACCTTCTAGGTAGGAGTGACAAGAAAAAAGGGACAGTTGGTAATGTAGATACTGATATGGCAGATATGGTCTTTTCCTGAGAACTCATTCGAAAAAATTGAGGTTCATCTTGCAACAGTGCTTTTATCTCAGCTGTTTTGTGTAGCTCCATGTTATTCTTACTAATGCTGTACTTGTAAAATGTATTTTGAAACTAGACCTCACCAGTCTCCTTTTATCAGTTTGTAAGAATGAGAACTCCTAGCAGTAGGGAATAAATAACTTATAATAACTACCCCTGCAGTTCAATTGCTGTCACCTGTGGACAGCATTCAGTGGAAGTCCTGTTGATTTTCAGCAGTTTTCACAGATTATGTTGTTTGTATTTTCTGCTCTTTGCCTAGATCTTTCATAAGGCTCCTTGGAAGTCTTCAAGTCTTCCTTTCCACCAAAAAATACTTCTTGCTTCTGAGAGTATCCTAGGTTTTTATAAAATCCTTCTTGAATATCTGCTGCTTTTCTGTGGGCAGTGATGACTTCCACAGCGTTGTAGAATTACTCATTGGCTGTGTCCAGATTCTCTGCCCAACTTTTATGGGTTCCTTTTCTCAAAGCCAGAGCTAAGTTCTGGAGACTTAGTCTCTCTTTTTATAAGCCATACTGCTGGAACTTTCACCCTGTGCCAATACTAGGGCAGATAAAGAAAAGAAAATTTGAAAGATGTGTTCAAGCAGATTGTATGGAATGATAAAGGACGTACTTTTCTCTCCCTCTAAATCTGTTTCTGTAGAGGTTCACATGGGCACAGGACTAGGATCCCCAAGATTTAGCATGCCATGGAACACTTTTTTAAGTGTTCTTTAAAGAAAATGTTCTTAATGTTATTTGAAGAAAAGAACAGTTCAAAGCATGTTTTTAATTTGTGCACTGATATTTGGAATTTCACAGTTTTAACGATCAAGCTTTTTGTCACATACATACAGTTATTTAACTCTCTGCACTGTAGTACCTGACTGCTGAACCGTAGTAGTACTTAAGTATTTAAAAAATACATTTATTTTCCGAACATCTTTTTACTGTAGGGATCTACTTACTTCTTTCTAATTTGGATGTTCCATTAGCAACATCTCTCCACCTGCTGTCAGCCAGCCAATGGCTGAGCAGTAGCCTGCCACCAGCCAGCTCCCCACAGCCTTTATGGGCTTTTGCATGATGTCACATAATATGGAACTACCCCCTTGCTCATTTCAAGGCCCCTGGCCTTCACTCCATCACTGCTGCTTTTCAGTAAAGGCTGCAGCTCTTCTCGTCTGAGTGGCCAACTGCACATATCTCGGGAGCATCCAAAACATTGTTGTGATATGAACACTGCCTTAGAAACCAGGACAGTGTTTTCATTTGTAATGTCAAAAAGAAAGTGTATGACAAGTACTCAGTACAAGTTTCCGAATGTGGAGAGTGACTAAATTTAAACTTCTGAACACTGAGAAATGCAAACTTAAGATAAATATCTCCACCATAAACAAGCAGTCCTTTTCCGTCTTCCACCTTTCTGTGGTTTTTCACTTCAAGTGTTAATGTTTGGAAAGATTACTTTTTAAAATACAGGGTACATTCTAAGATTGAAAATACAAAATTTGATTAATTTCATTAATTTTTCCTCCTTACAACATATTAGCACATCAGACTTGGAAATACAATATACATGGGAAGCCAGTTTATGCTGAACACTTCATAATTGTAAACCTCACTTTCAAAATGAACCTTGGGGCAGCTTTTCTCAAGTACTTGTTCACTTGCCACAGTATTCATACTCACAAACTATTTAGACATCATGAATACAGAGTCGTGGAATCACGGAATAGTCCAAGTTGAAAGGGACTGAAGGAGCATTGAACTCCAACAGAAACTCACCCAAAATTTAAACCCTATGTCTGAGTGTTGTCCATACACTTCTTGAGCTCCAGCAGCTCAGTGCCGTGCCCACTGCTCTGGGCAGGCTGTTCCATGCCCAGCACCCTCTGGTGCAAAGCTTTTCCCTCACCCCCGGCCCTCCCCTGGCGCAGCTCCATGCTGTTCCCTCGGCCCCGTTGCTGTTACACAGAGCAGAGCTCAGCGCTGCCCTCCCTCCGCTCCCTGTGAGGAGCTGCAGCTGCCATCAGGCCTCCCTCAGCTCCTCTGCTCTGGGCCCAGCGAATTGGAAGTTCTCAGCCGCTCCTCATCCATCTTGCTCTCCAGACTCTTCAACATCATTGTAGCCCACCTTTCAGCACATACTAAGTTTTATGTCCTCCTTATATGTTGGCCAAATAAGAAAGTAATAATGCATTACAACTGATAGCAGAAGTTTCTGAGGTCTTCAGAGTGTGATTGGTGACATTAGTTACCATTCAAGCAGGTTTGCATGTTTTGATATTGTTATTGTCATTTTAAATAGTATCAAGAAAATAGGTTTACCTAAATTGTTTCTGGCAGAATATGGCTTGCTGTGAAACTCCATAGCAAAAACTTTTATCTCTTTTTGCAGTTTTAGATCATTGTAAAGCAACTAAGTAGTTTGACAAAATTTATATATGGTCAAGCAGACAGAATCTCACCAGCTAGGCCTAGAAATCTACCCAGTATCTAAATACTGTTACAATATCTAAGGCAAAACCACATCCAAGAATCACAATGCGAGTAATGTATAGACATGTTCTAAGCCTACTTAATACACAGTTTATTTGTCAAATTTGGTTTAAAGTAGTCCATATTTTCAAAAGGCACTGCAGAGAACAACTGCAGGGACAAGATGATGAGCAGAGACAGCTTGAATCACAAGCCTTACTTTCTTGTGAAATTAAGAAAAATAGAAAAAATCTGTATCATTCAAGATATGAAATCTACCAAATGAAAATTTTTGTGGTTTAACTCAGCAGGCAGCTAGGCATCACACAGTCATTCAATCAGTCCTTTCTCTCAGAAGGGTCACTGAATTCAACCCCTAGTTCCACATGACAACACCCAAAATTTGAACCCTATGTCTGAGAGCATTGTCCAAACACTCCTTGATCTCCAACAGTTCAGGGCTGTGCCCACTGCCCATGGGAGCCTGTTCCATGTATGATCACCCTCTGGTGAAGAGCTTTTTCCTAACCCCTAACATGACACTTCCCTGATTTAGCTCTGTGCTGTTTAGCACGAAGCAACTCTGAGGACTGCTCTGAAAGTAATACCGCTTATTTTACAATATTAGCTCTTGACATCTGGGTTGGTGATATGGCACTAGGGATTGAACTTTCCCACCAGTATCCTGTTACATGTTGTTGCTGTGTGACAGGTGGCAGCAGAGGGACAGCCTTACAAAGTGATGTCAGACATGGAAGTATGTAGGAAGCAAATGTATGTCACTGAATTGCTCCCTGCAGAAAAAATGACACCCAGTGGAACATTTATGAAGACCAGGCAGTGAATGGTGAGCGCAGTGAGTGGTGTGTCTCAACAATGGCAACAGCAACAGTGGCTCACCTGTACTGGTATAGATTTATGAGCGCAGTATGCAGGCTGTTGTTTGTCATTGGTGAAAATACATAGCTCATGGTGGTGTCTATGTGAAAAATAGTACTGTAGCTGTGATTTTGCTCATTCAAGTACAGTTATTGTGTTCTTCATATCTGTTGTAATTTCCATGAAGAAAAAGTTGAAGGCATTACTTTCAGAGCAACCTACATGTATTTAAAGAAAGCTGTTGTTGATTGTTCCTATTGTATTAACTCAAGTATTTGTAAACCTTTCAACTATATGTGGCAAAACCACACTTCGAAGAAAAGTTTCCAAAATGTGGGGAGTAGATTCTGGATTAATTCATTGTTAGCTAAGACTCTCTGGTTTGTTTTTATCTGCATTATATTTTGTCAAGAATTGCTGGTGAGAGACAAATATTTTTACAGTCAGTAGATATTCAGTAACTTCTGAAGGTTCTTGAATATCTTCTGTAAGAAACTTCTGGATCTCAGTGATCAAACAAGAACAGCAATACATTCTTCGTTCAGCAACTAGTATGCAAGTCATGAACAGTATAGATTTGGACAAGCACTGAAGAAGAAATGGCTATTTATGCTTGCAGCTCTTTAGGATGAATTGTTTTACAGCTGTTCTATGATTTGCCCTTCAGTTTCACCAGTGTGAGTAGAGAAAAGGTCTGGTTACGGTGGCACTTTCTGATGGTTTTCCTGTTGTTTTGTTTCGTTTTGTTGTAATGGCTGTAATGGCAACTTTGAGAGTGTGTTTAAGTGATGTCTGAAGAACGCTGATGACTGTAGTCCATTTCAAACACAATATGTATAGTGATTAATTGATGACAGTTATTGGGGAAACAAAAAAAGTTTTTCCTTTGGAGAGGACAGTATTTCAGAAAGCTTAGTTTCCTGGATCTTTCTTTATTTTTGGATCAACTTTAGTACAGCTACTTTCTCCTTAGCTCTTGGCTGGAGTTGTACAGTACAGCAAATCCCTGAATTTTTTCAAGGTGTGTGCATTCCTTTTTAGATCAGAATTGTTGATGCGTATGCAGCCGTGCCCAATGGCATGAGTAAAACTTCTTAGATTTGGTTATTTACGGTCCTCAAGAGCTAAGAAAAATGCATGTAGTATTCGAAGAACAGTGTGGAACAGATAAAAGGTTTAAAGACGGTTTATAGAGACTTCTACAGAAATTCTATTTGTATTCTTTTCTGTTATTCCCTTCTTAAATAAAGAACTATTAATATATTCTCTTATAAACAAATAAAAGAAGTTTATCCTGTTTCCTAAAGCATCTGCAGCATCTGAATATTAAATAAATATTTGAATACTTGCATTTTTGTTCTTTCATTGATATGTAATAAACATGATGACAGCTGACCTATTTTTAAAGATTGTTCCCAGCACAGTATTCTCAAAATGAAGAGCAAGAGTAGATATGCCTAGCAGGTAGATAAGAGTAGCATGTGGGTTTTATTTATTGTTTTGGCATGGTTGGTTGTTTTGTTTTTTTAATCTTAAGTGTTTTCTTACTTAAAATGCATCACTTTTCATCTTACCAAGACACTTGTGTACAATGTAAGCAAAATGAAGAACAAAATCAGTTCTAAGAGTTTCTCAAAACAGTAATCACAAGCTTTATATTACATCATGAATTTTGAAACGTGTGTATGTTTCTTTGCCTGAGAACAAGTGCCAGAGAATATAGAGTATATTACTGATTTCTTTCTTCTCCAAGTATTCTAATAATTATTCTGTTTTAAATATACTTTTCCTAGTAGGCTCAGAAAGGCTTAAATATATATTTGTAGAAAATAATCCTGCTGATGTACGTGGATATAGCTTTTAAACATCTGTATGAATCTGTATTCAGCTTTTGTTCCTTTACTTTTGGCTGTTTTTTGCAAGGCATTCATTTGACCAAATGTTCTATAGTTTTTATGCTCTATGAATGCTTCTACTGATTTCAGTGTATTTACCCACAGTACATAAAATTGAGTGTATGTTTCAGGGAATCAGGATCTAAGACTCTTTAGTGAATAGTCTGTACCTGTGGAAATTATGCCAAAATACCTACATGCAAATTTCTCTTCTAGAGTTGGGTGGAAGCTGCCTCTTGCTAAATGCTGAATAGCTGTAAACAGAATTGTATAATCTCCAGATTAGATCTGGCTGGCCTCCATTCAGCTGGTGGTACATGCAGATGAACTAATCTGTCTAATCCAAATTATGGTAAAGCACAATGAATCATTCATTTACCTACACTTTCAAAAGAACTTGTTAAATTCAGAGGATGAACAAAAAATAGACTGTTTTGTGGAAACAGCAGAAATATCGTTTTACAAATGTAATTCACCAGTTTGAATTTGTTTTTATTTTCATGTTTAACACAGTGGAAATATTTATGCTATTTATTATGCTAATTTTCATTTGCAGTGTGAACAATGTATAAAGTTCTAGAAAGGCCTGTCAAATACCTCCAGATATATCTAACTTCTAACTGTGGTATTGCTAGTGGATATTCTGTAAGTGGTTTCTGAAAAATAATTGTAGTGTTGGGCACTTTTTTAAATTATTTTTTTTATTTTTCTTTTTTTCCTTTTTTTTTTTTTTTTATCTTTGGGTTCAAATTGACTCTCCTTACTTTCATTAATAGGTAGCATAGATCAGTCAGTGTTAAAGGAGTTGCCTCCTGAGCTCCTGGCAGAAATTGAATCCACCATGCCTCTTTGCGAACGTGTGAAAATGAACAAACGCAAACGTAGCACAGTTAATGAGAAACCAAAATATGCTGAAATCAGTTCTGATGAAGACAATGACAGTGAAGAAGCTTTTGAATGTAAGTAGTACATAATTCTGTTCCTATGGCAAAACAAGGCTGATACTTTGCTTTCTCAGAAAGGTTTCTTTTTAAGTTGGCTGGTCTAAATGAAAACAAGTTTGCTATACAGGCAACAATTTGCCTGAAAATTTTGTTTTTTACTTTATAAAAGAAAGAGTAATTACTCCATTTGAATTTGTAACTCAAGATGAAAAGCAGCTACCCTTTAAATTTGTTTCTGTACTTACCTTATGGGAAGCCATTCTCCAGATTTTTTTTAGTTATGCTGTGCAACATTTATGCAAAATACTGTCTCATGAGGAAAAAGAAGAGAACCAAATGTAGAAAATCCATTTCCATAAGACGTTTCTCTATCTAGCGCATTCTGTTCAGATAGCACAGGTTCAGTTGCAGTTAACTCTCAGCCATTTAGAACAGGAACTGTATCTCAGGCATCATGAACATGACTCTACTGCCTCCAGAAGCAGTTCTGATCCAGAAGTAGTACAGCTCAAAGCCTGATCAAAGTTATTAAAGTATTAAACCACCTGTTGGCAGAAATTTCGTACTATGTTTTCAGAAATGGAAACTGTCTAGGGTGCAGTGTGGTATCCCCTCATATTCAATAGTTCTTTATTCATAATGCCTGTGACTGGTCTGCTTATTGCCTATATTTTGATATGAATAATGTTTTCTTTCCTATGCTTATCAAGAAACTGGAATTGTAGAAGTAATTTGTCAGTTCTGTTCCAGTTCTATATAAATCCTTGGAGACATTCTTCTCTAAAGCAATTCAGTATGCAGTCATACATTTTTAAATGTCAGGAGAGTTTGACAGAAACATGTACAAATGTAAAGACTGTTCAATACTGCTTCATGAGAACAGTAAACTTTGGTAGTCTAGAGTGCAATGTTTTGAAACCATTTTGATCTTCAAAGCTTCTATATCTTTTTGTTAGCCCAGTCACCGTCTTACATTAGGTAATGGAAAGTTTCACGGAGGAAACTATGAAATATCCTCTTTCTATACATCTTAGCACCTTTTCTTTTCAAAGATGTACAAGACTGCCTTCAAAAATAACAGAGAAATCTCCATTCCCTTTCTCTGAAAATTGTATTTTCACCAAATCTTTGTTTCTGAAAAAACACTCATCCTGATTTCAGCATTTAGTTCTGCTGTTCTTTTTGGTATTGACTGGAAAGTGGTTATAAAAGCCACAAGTGGTAAATACTGACTGTTTAGTCCAGAATTGTTTCTCCTTTCCAATGAATTATGTGCAATATATATCAAGACAAGTTTTTTGATTTCTTGGCAAAATCGACTGTAATTTGAATTTCCTCTATTAGATGGGCAAAATGAACAATGAGTTGCACTTTATAATAGCCACAATTATGTAAGTGAAGAATATCTAATTATTTTTTTTTTAAGAAAGGAGAAAATTAAAGTTGTTTTGTTCATTCTCCTTTGTTTAAAAGGGCAAGACTCCTTCACATTCATGCTTTTAAGTATTTGCTGGGTATCTTTGATTTCATGCTTGTTTTTCATGTAATTCAAAACAAATTGTTAGGTTGGTGCCGTAACTGAATTTTATATAATGGTTTGGAGCGTTCACTTGTTTTATGAAGCAGTTATATGGTTACGTTTTGTTTGTAAACCTATAATTTTGAGATATTAAAATTGGATGTTTTATACTTAGAATGAAAATGCATTTCATTTCTAGCTTCTCGAAAAAGACATAAAAAGGATAGAGACGAAGCTTGGGAGTACGAAGAACATGACAGAAGAAGTTCTGGTGACCACAGGAGGAGTGGTCATTATCATGAAGGAAGAAGGACTTCCGGTAGTGGCCGTTACCGTAATCGCAGTCCTGATGACTCTGATATGGATGATTATTCTCCTCCTCCTAGCCTCAGTGAGGGTAACTCATCGTTATAAAAATTCATTTTCTTTCATAGTGCAAGTGCATTTTTAAAGGACAAGTTGAAAATTGTGAAATAAACATTTTTACATGTAGTGTTTAATGCAAACGTAAGAAATGTAACTATTCCTTTATTTCATTTTGACAAACTGTTAGCTTCATTCTTTGCTCTCTTATTAGTGGCAAGAAAAATGAAGAAAAAAGAAAAACAAAAGAAGAGGAGAGCTTATGAACCTAAACTAACACCTGAAGGTAATTTTCAGATTTATATTCTTCACTTTTTATTTTCTGCATTGTATATAAAATATTCATTTATTTATTTGTTTGTTTGTTTCCCACCAGAAATGATGGATTCTTCAACCTTCAAAAGATTTATTGCTTCAATAGAAAACATTTTGGAAAATCTGGAAGACATGGATTTTACAACCTTGGGTAATATGTCAGAAATTTTCAAAGTGCTTCCCCGCAGTTAGACACAAGAAATGACAAACAAATTGCATTTCTAGTATTTTCAGGCTTTCTCCTTTCTAATTTAATTTCCTCTGATACATGCTAGAATAAATAGTGTTCGTATGGCTTCCACCTTGAGTGGGTATCTTCACCTTTTCAATTTCACTTGCCACTGGAGGCAGAACTTCTTCCTTTCCTTGCAGAATCCAAAAGATTTATAAATCATAATGAAACAAATAATAGTCTACTGGAATGTATCTGCTGCTTTATTGTTCTTGTCAAGTGGCTGAGCGCTTAACACACTTTTTACTATCACAGGATTAGAATGAGGAGAGAGATGCAGTAAACAAATCACTATGGTTTTTAAGGCAATCTTGTCTATACCCCTGGATTTAAAACTGTCATTCTTTCTATGCAAGTAGGTTGTTCCATAAGTAATGCCTCCTCTTCATTTCCTTAGAAACTGTAACAGATAAAAAAAGCTCAAGAGCACTATTTGGTAGAGCAAATTCTCAAACACTACAAAAGAAAAACACTATTCATCTGCATAGTCACCACCGTTAGCAATGCAATTTTGCAAACCGTGGACAAAAACCTGCATGCCACTTTCATAAATAACTTCATGGCTGTACAGAACGTGGCTTATATTTCATATTGCAGGCATCACTGCTGAAACACACCACCCACTGCCCCATTATGCTCACATCCACTGATTGGTCTTCAGAAATGTTGACAAATGTCAATACATGCCATTTTTTCTGTGCATCCTTAGGTATAGTATGCATTTTTCCAACTGTTGTTCTGACTGAGATTTGAACTTTAGAATTATAACTATGATCATTTGTGATTTGTTTTGCCAAATGAGGGTAGTACTGCAATAAATGTGTTGCTGTATAAGAAAAATAGATGTCTCATGTTAGGCTGTTAAATGAAATTCCAGAGCATGTAATCAGACACATTGAGCAAGTTGTTGTTTTATAAAAACCTAACGTTGTCATCATTAGTTGGAACTATTAGATCCTAGCTATTTGTGAAGCAGTTCTTTAACAGATTTTCTTGCTTTTGCTTTTCTCACTGGCTGTCAGTACTGCATTCTTTGAAGTGTTATGAAAAATATGACTGTTTACTTTTTTTTTCTTTTTTTTTCTTTTTTTTTTTCCCAAGGTGATGATGATGAGATTCCACAGGAATTGCTTCTGGGAAAACATCAGCTTAATGAGTTGGGGAGTGAATCTGCAAAAATCAAGGCAATGGGTATCATGGACAAGGTACATCTTCATAGTCTTTATCTCTTTCTGATCATTCAGTTTCATCACACCTGCAAAAAATGTGTTCACTGTGATGACATTTCAATCCCTTCATTAGAGCATGTGACTTACTGCGAACAGTAATGCTTACACTGAACTTAACTGAAGTACTTAAATAGTTACCGCATGTCAACTGCTAGTTTCTCTGATGCTGAGGTATTTTTGTGTCTGTGACAACTAAGCACTGTGTACTAATATGTAACACATATGCCTGAGCAGAAAATGTAAATTAATTTACTTTCACAAAAGCACACTGATCTATTGTCTGCTCCTTGCATCTAGTTTTGAGCAAACCCAGTGAAATAGGACATCCACTCTTTCTAATATAAGCTGTCGGTACACTGTGAATATGCAGATGTCCATCATACTGAATTACCTAGTTCTTCCTATGTCTCCAGAAAAGCCTCTCACACTTAAAATATTTAATGTCTCTGGTGACAAGATTCAGTTTCTGTAGACTGCCTGTGCTGGGTTGTTTACTATACTCTTCCTGCCTTCAAAGAATGTTCTGTGATGTTGTGTTGGTATAGCACTTTTAGAAATAATTTTCTTGCTTTCCTAATGTAAAACTCTTGGTTTTGGGCAGTCTTATGTTATGCTCTTAGTCTGCATGCTCTTGATCACCCTCTGTGTTTACGAGGTGTCTGTTAAGTGACAAGTGCAAGTCACTGAAAGATCTTCCTTAAACCAAGACTCAGATATACTTCTTTGCCTTTTCTTCATTCCTCCGTATCTTCATCTGTAGAATGTTTTCACCCTGAGCATTTTGTCTACTTCATACTTCTCACCCTTAACCTCTCCTACTTTTTTTTTTTTAATACACATGTGCATGCATGTATGTGTAAAATCAGAATTCTGTTACTTCTGGAAAGGATCACCAGTATTATCTGGATGAGTAAAAGAGATTTTTCTGGAGTTGCTGTTTTTTTGTCTGTATGTTCTACAGTTTATTTAATGCTGTAAGATATCAGTAAGAGAATTTGTGTTATGTTTTTCAGCATGCTAATTTTTCAATGTTATTAAAGTTAGTAAGAATACATTTCCTATGTATTGGCACTCAAATACCAAGGAAATTTATTTCTGCAAGGTCTGGATCTTCTAATAAATCTGTATATGGTTAGCTAGAATATGTGGCTCATACCACGGCTCCTTGATATATTTGCTTTCTTGTTACAGCTCTCAACAGACAAAATAGTAAAGGTCCTGAATATTTTGGAGAAGAATATTCAAGATGGATCAAAGCTTTCTACGTTACTTAACCACGTGAGTTTCAAATTGCATCATTTCGTACCACTCTTCAGCACCAGATTTTCTTTACTTGGGTTCTGTTTATTTGATAACTTCAAATGCCTGGGATTTGTTTATGTGTGTGTTTGAATGCTTGAATGGAATTTTTTATTTTAGATATTCGTGATAAACAGATTGTCAAATTTTATGATTTGAAATAAAGTTCATTTGATGATATTCTTTCAATACTAGTAGTTTTATTGTAGTTCTATTAAAAATAGATGAGTTGAGCGCAATTGAGTTGTCTTTTTACTTAATTTAAAGTACCAAAGTTTCTATCTGAAATGCTTCTGGTAATTATATATGTGGTAATTATATATCGTGGAAATGTCTTTGTTAGTGGTTCATAAACCTTCCTTAACACAGTGGAGGAAAGTACAGCAATATTTAGAATGTATTTCCCCTTAAGCATTAAAAACTAAGCACGTATTTTAAATCACAGAACCATAGAACATCTAGAGCTGGAAGGGACCATCTTTTTTAATAAAAAAAACTTCCTTCATGCAACACGTGGCTTAAAACTATTCCATGTGAGGAATTTAAAGGGATCTCCTCATTTGTGGTTCTTTTCTTTAAATACTTGTAACACATACATAATGCAATACTTCTAGATTTTCTTACCTCAAAGGGAGAAAGCTGATACGATTAGAAACTGTTGTTTCGCCAACAGTTTTTCTTTGTAAAAATAAGGAAAACCAATGTTGAACTGCTGTTAGAGAGCTGTAGTTTGTATGGCTGTGTATGTAGCAGGCATAGTATATTAGAAATTCTCTCTGATTTTCCAATTGATAATGTGATAAACATTATTTCAGTAATGCTTGTAGTTTGTAAATACCCTGTTGATCGTTTGGTATTACAGTTTGTACAAAAACCAACATACAGGAATTGTGTGCCCAGTGCTAAAACTAAATGGGTGTGTTTGATGAGATGAAGCTGAACCCCATGATAAAAGATCATGATAGCAGTTGAGCCTATCTCTGAGGAAAGTCTCATTCTCACCAGTTTCTGTGAATCAGAACAGTCTTGCTGTGTGACAGTTCCCTCTAGTGGTAAAAAACAGATTTGTCAGAGCAGGAAGCTGTGTGTGTAACCATGAAGCAAAACTGAGTCGTTTTTGCTTACGGCACATCAGTCTTAAGCAGACAGTATGCGGTATTCCTTCATAGAGCTTCCCTAAAATACAAAACTTCTTTGTATTTTGCCAGAACAATATGGTGGGTTATTGTAGAATTCTAACTTAGGAAGAAGTATGATTGAAAACATGTTGCTAGTAAAACAAATTGTAGTTGATTGTAAGACAGTTTTTTTTGTATCACAGAGGAATGTGCTTGTATGAAAGTATATTAAAATGGCAATTTTATCCTTACCAAGTACTGTATAGCAATTCAACTTTTTCTTCTCTCTGAACTGTTTTTCTTGTATACTGCAGAACAATGACACTGAAGATGAGGAGAGGTTATGGAGAGATCTTATAATGGAGAGAGTAACAAAATCTGCAGATGCTTGTCTTACTGCTATCAATATTATGACATCACCAAATATGCCTAAAGCTGTCTATATTGAGGATGTAATAGAAAGAGTTATTCAGTACACAAAATTTCATTTGCAGAACACTCTCTATCCTCAGTATGACCCTGTGTATAGAGTGGATCCTCTTGGTGGTTAGTATGATGAAAGATTTTTAGAAGCCTTTTCACATTATTCTTGCTTTTTTTTTTTTTTTTTTTTCTCCTATCTACTGTATGATGATTACAGTAATACAGTTCCCTGAAGATTTTTATATGTAACTGCTCTATTGGTAGTTCTTTCATATGGCATACATCATCTGGATTAAAATATGGTGTTATTTTAATGACGATGAAATGTAAAATAACATTTTTTTGTGTTCCCCAAATAACTTAGTTGTATTTATTCAAGTTTATTGCAATAGCTATAGTGTTAGTATTACTTCTTAGACAAAAGAAATTAGTCCAAAGTTTGTCTTTTGCAAATTGTTTCTGTGTGGATGAATAAGTCATTTTGTAGTCATAATCTTGATAGAATGATTTAATTTAATGAAAATTAAATCATAAAAATTAAAGCAGTTTGTTGTTATATTCATATTCTCAGATATGGAGATCCAACATCAAGAACTGTTTTAAAAATCTTGCACCATAATTCAGAACTATTATGAAAATCGAATGTCATTTGAAATTCCAACTGCTGCTGCTAAATATTCTTTCTTCTGCAAATGATTTCATTCACCAAGCTGTTTGGGCAACTTTGTTTTCTTGAGAAAACAGTCATCTTTCTAATATTTGACACAAGTGAAACACTGGAAAATTAATGAAAATATTTCTGCTTTTTTTAGGTGGTCTTTTAAGTTCAAAAGCAAAACGTGCCAAGTGTTCCACCCACAAGCAAAGAGTTATAGTGATGTTATATAATAAAGTTTGTGATATTGTCAGCAGTTTGTCAGAGTTGCTAGAGATACAACTTCTTACTGATACAACCATTCTTCAGGTAAGCTTTATCAGAAGAGTCTGTTGTGGGGGTTTTGTTTTTTTTTAGTTTTTTCTTTGCTTAGAGAGAGTGTGAAGTATAGCTATGTAAATGACATGAAATATGAAATAATATTTTAATTAATTGATTATATTAAACTGAATAATCTTTTGTGTAGTGTGTTACCTTCTTGCTCTGTTCTGCAGAAAAAGAACATTTAATGTTCACATTTTTATTGGCTGTTATTGAAAAAAAAATACGAAAAGCTTAATGTGATTGTGTTCTTTTTGCAACTATAAAGTAATATTTGCTGTTGGATCCCTTATCTGCTGAAGGAATAAGTTGCTTGTAAAGTTGCATGTGGATCAGTTTCCCAGCCAAATACACTTATAATAATTTATTTACATTGATAGGTATCATCTATGGGGATAACGCCTTTCTTTGTAGAAAATGTCAGTGAACTACAGCTATGTGCCATCAAATTAGTGACTGCAGTAAGTAATTTTTTATTTGTTCTTACATGTCCCTGTACATCTAGCAGTTATTAGGATGTTTACATCATCTGTATTTTTGCTGGTATAGAAGTAGAGCTTCAAACTGATTTTACTTTTTCACAGTTTTAGAGTTTGGTATTACAATTTAGGAACAGTATTAAATTCACCTGGGCTGCTGCTATTTGTAGAGTAGCTACTTCTTCCTATAGAATAAGTTTCCTACTTCAGCAAAGAACTTTCTTAAGTTGTTAAATGGTTAAAAGTGTGAACACAAACCCCGATGTCTTTCTTGTCCTCTCTTGCTAAGAAACCTTAGCAATATGGTATGTCTCATTTCTTTTGTTAAGGTTTGAATTTGTGAAGTGAGATAAGCTAGAGAACAGGATACTTTTTTAAGTTCATATTCCTTGGAAGGGATGGACACATGAAAAATTCTTAGAACAAATCAAATATTGTTTCAGAAAAAATGCAGTATGTATGTTATGTATATATGTATGTTCAAGTAGGAGTATCTTATCTTTGTAAGGATCACATTCACCAGAATTTTTAAATGGAATTTTGAATGAACAAAAGGAGAGCAAACTCAGTAATCTTGACCATAAATAGAAATAATATCTAATATTGGGCAAATACTAAAAACTGAGATACAAAGTAAAACTGGTTTGTCAAATATGTTCTAAAATTGTGTATGTGTTCAACTTCTGTTGTATGCTGGGATCTGAAAACTTTTTATTACACTGTCTTACTTTCCTACACAGTGCCTTTCTACTGTTAGCAAAAATCTTTAAAGCATATGGTACTTAGAAGAGCAGTTATTAGATATTCATGTTTTTAGATGATTTTAAAAATCTTCATTTGAAAAAGATGTAATATTTTACAAAGACATGCTTGGTTTGAAAAGATAAAGAAATGCCTTAAAAGCATGGTATGCATTCAGATTCATTTCAAATGGACATTACTACATATTTTATGTAACAGTAATATTCTAACAGTGGTGTAACTGTTAAATAGGTCTTCTCCAGATATGAAAAACATAGACAACTAATACTAGAAGAAATTTTCACTTCCCTTGCAAGACTACCAACTAGCAAGAGGAGTTTGAGAAACTTCAGGTAATTTCTGACATGGAAACATTTACAGTTTTGTATATGTATGATTTTACACTTCAGCATAAACATGTCTTTAAAAATCTGGAACTTAACAAGCTACAGTTTCTTAGATATTGATATTTCAAAATCTCTACATAGAGAGCAGAGTTTTCTGACTAATCCATCATGTAATAGTCGTTGTTTCTTGTGCCACTGTATTTATGCTTGGATACTGAAATAATTGAAATATTTATTAGTCTTCTCACTAAGAATGTAAACAAGTGCAATATTGGTGTGCATTCAAGGGGGATTTTGATTCAAAAATATTTGATTCTATTTATATGGAGGTATTTAATTTCTTAATTGCTAGAACTTAACAGGAGAATGTTGGGTGAACTTTTTCAAGGTCATACTCAGAGCAGGATTTCAAACTGATACAGCTTTGAGTGAGTTTTCATTTAGGAATTGCTCAGCTCACTTCTACTGTGTATCTTCTAAATAATATGTTCACGTTCAATCTGAACAGAATTTCAGTTTAAATTGATGGATACTTTAAACCATTCTAAAATATTTGCTGTTTGGATTGCCATCCATCTTTCTTGCTTGCCTATCAGACCAATAATTAGAAAAATAACGTATTGCCTATCTATCTTGCTTGCATACATCTTTCCTCTGGAGACAAGTTGTCCATGAAATAGGTTGGCTCATCCAGGGTAGATTGGCAGGGTCAGGAAAATCAAATGCAGTGAAACTTTGAAGTTCATTTGAGTCACTCAAATGTGAGTCAGTGCTTACGCCTAGTATTCATGTTGTTTTTGTTATAGTCATCAAAGACATCTATTAAATGCTCAGTAAGAATGGGACCATAATTGGTTGATAGCTTGTTCAACTGGGGTCCTTGCCAGAAGGAAGTCATCATCTCAAGTGACTATGCTATCTGTAGAACTTTAGCAGGATCCATTAAAGGGCATTTCCTATCTGTTCTTAAAGTCATGAAGGGAGCAGCTTACGAAAATTTCGTATGAAAAAATCTTTTCTCCATATGTACTCATAAATAACAAAGAATAACTGCAGTTTGTTTTGGGCTCAGTTATTATTTTGATAATTTGGAAAGAATGATATCAGAGTATGACCATTTCATATTGCTTAAAAGTGTTGATGTATGGGTAGATGAACAGTGTAACATTTGTCAGGTTAAATCACTTAGAAGGGGAGAAATGTGAGGTGGATTGTATTCACGTTGGTCATACAAACATAAAGACACCACTGAATTTTTAATTCTACAGTTTGTTATGCTACCTGGGAGTAAGTACCATGATTATAACTCTTGTAGAAGTCAATCCAGCCCATAGTCACTATTTTCTCCTGCACATTCTATTTATATTAAATAATACAGAAGTAGCGAATTAGAGCTACAGTCTGATGTGGTTTTTTTTTTAATACTTTATTGGAAATTGATATTCTTGTTTATTATACACAGTAAGCCTATTAAAAAGTAGAATGGTAGGTGTTTGATTTCATACATTTCAAATTCTGCAGACTTTTAGTTACTGAGCTTCACAGATATTCTGATAGTCATTTGTGCTGTTTCAGCTTATCTCTCCTACTTGAGAACAGTGCTAGACTCAATCTTTCACTTCTTAAGACAGAAGCAAGTGACTAGTTTAATTTATAGTATACAGATTTGGAATGGTGGGGAAAAATTTTAGAAATCTTAAAATTGTTTATGAACAAAAAATAATAGTTTTGTTTTATTTTAGTGTTAATGCTTTGTTTGTCGTATTAACAGGTTGAATAGCAGTGACACAGATGGAGAGCCTATGTATATTCAGATGGTAACAGCACTAGTTCTACAACTCATTCAATGTGTTGTGCACTTACCATCAGCAGAAAAAGATTCTAATTCGGATGAGGAATTGAACAAAAAAGTAAGGAAGTTATTTTCAAAAAACTTCATAATTTTATTTGGTGCAGGAATAATTGTGTATTTATGGATATTATATTCTGTGATGGTGGTCCAGTAACTAGGGAATGTAATTTTGTCTGCAGTAATAATTTGATAGATGAAAGATCTGACCTGAGAATAATGTTAATATTTCTGCCTATGCTAAAGTCCTAGATTAATAAGTCTTCTTATTTTTAGGTGGATCAAGATGTGCTTATTACTAACTCATATGAAACAGCCATGAGAACAGCACAAAATTTCCTTTCTATTTTTCTTAAGAAGTAAGTACTGTTACATTATTTAGTATATTGATGAAACCAGCTCTGAATGAAATCTTGCACCTTGAGATAAACCTAATTACTTAGCAACACTAAATTCCTACTAGTGAAGTTACAACAATGTGCTTTATAAGTCCTTAAAAATTTTCTTCTCTAAACAACACTTCCTATAGCACAGAAATTCTTAATATGTTTAAGAATCTGTCAGATATTTTATGTAGGATCTCTATCAGCATTCCGTTACTCATCTGAAGCACAAAAGTGAAAAAATACAAGTGATGAAAGCAGATGTAGAAAAATTAAAATCTTTTTTACTTACAGAATCTGAGAATTGTAAGTTTTGAAGTAGATCATTGGAGATCATCCAGTCCAATCACCCCCTAAGGGATTTTCTCTAGAGTAGGTTGACAGGAAAGCATCCAGGCAGGTTTTGAAAACCTCCAAAGGAGGAGGATTGAAACTTCTCTGGGCAGCTTCTTCTTACTTATCCTTGACTTCTAAAATTATTCCATAATTCTGCTAATATTCCAGTGGGTTTTTTTTACCTTTTAGAATCATATTAAACTCCTTTTTCCAGTTAATGATAAGATTACTCATGTTTACATCAGGAGAAAAGCTAAGATGATTCTAAAATTTGGTTACATAATGCATTTTCTTTTAAAAAGATGTGGTAGTAAACAAGGAGAAGAAGATTACAGGCCTCTATTTGAGAACTTCATTCAAGATCTTCTTTCCACTGTCAATAAACCAGAATGGCCAGCTGCAGAGTTGCTGCTTAGCTTACTAGGAAGATTATTGGTAAGTTGCTTTTGACTATGATATGTAAATACAGGACGTATTTACTTCAGCTCCAGTTATTTACAGGAATGCTTTCTGATAGTTGATGTATACGCAACATACAAGGATTTTCTTTTGTTGCTATAGATAATAAAATTTAGGTCAGAAAATCATTGATACACAACTTGGGAAGAGTCATGGAATCATAGAATTACCAAGGTTGGAAAAGACCTCCAAGATCATCCAGTCCAACTTTCTACCTATGACCGATACTTCCCAGTAAACCACATCCCTCAGTATATTTGAACATTTCTTGAACACTTCCAGGCACAGTGACTCCACCACCTTTCTGGGGAGCCCACTCCAGTGCCTGACCACTTTCTTGGAGAAGAAGCATTTCCTAATGTCCAAACTCAACCGCCCCTGGTACAACTTGAGGCTGACTCCCACCCCTGAGCCTCTTCTTCTCCAGTTTAAACAATTTCAGCTCCCTCAGCTGCACCTTGTAAGACTCGTAAGTGCTCCAGACCTCTCACCAGCTTCACTGCCACTCTATGAACACATTCCAGTGCCTCAGTGTCTTCCCTGTAGTGAGGGGCCAAAACCAAATGCAGTACTCGAAGTCCACTTCTACTATTCCATGACTTTTTACACATTAAAAAAGACACTCTATAACATCTAGATGATAGTGCAGATATTCATTTTGAGTAAAATCAGACTTATGGCTGTAGGTATTCACTTTAAACATGCTGATTTTTTGTTTAGCGTGGATCATGAAAACTGTTAATGAAGTAGATAATTCTTATACCAATAACAGTATATTTGCTTGCGGAACATGAAATTTTGGGGAACGCATATATTTTTGCTATCGTGTTTCTAAAAAGATCTTCTTTGGTTTTATGATTAATTAACATGGTAATTTCAGTGAATAATTGGTGTTGAAGTATCTCTAGAAGACATCGGCTATAATAACCCAGCTCAAGCAGGGGCAACCAGAGCACTGTACTCAGTACCATATCCAAACGGCTTTCAAAGATTTCCAGGAGTGGAGACTCCACAGCCTCTCTGGACAACCTGTGCCAGTACTTCATTGTCCACATAGTACAGAAGCACTTCCTGTTGTTCAGAAGAAACCTCATTTTCCAGTTTGTGCCCACTGCCTCTTGTCCTGGCACAAGACAGCATTGAAGGGAGTCTGATTCTGTGTTCTTTGCACCATCCCTTCGTGTATTTATGGACATCAGTGTGATGCCTGTGAACCTCCTCCATGTTGAGTAGTCCCAGTTTTCTCTGTGTCTCTGTGTCACTGTTCATCCAGCGCACACTTCAACAGCTTCTCTATAAGAATCTCATGGGGGGGAGTGTAAAAGACTTTGTCATTGTAAGTCCGGGCAGACAATATCTTGTCCTCCCTCATCATCCACTGGGCAGCTCATTTCTTTATAGAAGTTTTTCAGGTCAATGAAGTGTTATTTCCTTTTGGTGAATCCATGGTGAGTACTCCTGATGATTGTCTTCTCCTTCATGTGCCTGGAAACAGTTTCAGGAATTATCTCTTCCATCACTTCCTATGAATCCTAGTGAGGCTGACTGGCCTGTCATTTCCTGGATCATCTCTATTTACCCTGAGGCAACAGAACAGAGAAGCTGTGGGTGCCCCCAACCCTGGAGGTGATCAAGGCCCGGTTAGGTGGGGCTCTGCACAACCTGATCTAGTGTGCAGCAACCCTGCCAAAGCAGGGGTTTTGGAACAAGGTGATATCTTAGGTGACCGCCAACTCAAACCATTCTGCCAGTCTTTGGGCACCTCTCCTAGTTGCCATAAGATTATTAAGATTATTGAGAGTGCTCTTGTGATTGTATCTGCCAGCCCCCTCACATGCATCCCATCAGGGCTCAGGGATTTGTCCAGTTTGCTCAAGCATTCCCTCACATGATTGTCTATCACCAGAAATACATCTTACTTGAGCTTTTCACCCTGGTCTCTGGGTCCAGGGGATCTGAAGATCGTTCTCACGTGTAAATATTGAAGGCATTGAATAAGGCATTGCATACCACAGCTTTTTTGCTGTCCTGGGTAAGCAGGTCTTCTGTTTCCTTCAGCAGAGGGCCTACAGTTTCCCTAGTCTTCCTTTTGTCATTGAGTTACTTGTTGTTTATGTCCTTAGCCAGATTCAACTCTAACTCTCTCTGCGGCTGTTCAGTGTATCTATACTCCTGCCATATTACCTGTCCTTACTTCCACCCTCTATAGATTTCAGTTTTGTGCTTGATTTTGGTCAGGAGCAATTTTTGTTCTTCCATGCAGGACTCCTGGCATCCTCTTTGTTTGGATGCATCATTTCTGAACTTGGAGAAGGTGATCCTGCGATGTTGTCCTGTTGGTCAACAGAGTGGCTGAAAATCCCCCATGAGGACAATGCTTATAATCATGAAAAGAATGCTCCTTTGTGTCTGTAGAGGGCCTCATCCACTTGTTCTTCTTTGTCACGTGGCTTGTTGCATAAGCCAACTGTAGTGTTAATTACTCTGTCTTCCCTTTAATCCTAACCTGTATGGTCAGTAAGTTCCTTGTGCATCCGCAGTCAGAGCTCCATGCACTCCATCCAGCTGGTCATTGACAAGAAAGCAAAACCTTTTCCTTCTGTTGTCTACCTGTCCATCCTAAAGATCCCATGTCCTTCCATTGCTCCAGTCAGGGAAGCCATCTTACCTTGTATTTCTGATGCCAGTGAGATCATAGCTCTGAAATGGTGCATGTCTCTAACTCCTTTATTCCCTTACGTTGGTGTACAGAGACTTAAAAAGAGTTCCTCAGCATGTTATATTCTTAGAAGGTGTTTGGGAAATTTTTTTATAGTGCTGCCTTGTATGGCATTTCCTTGCTAGCCTGCATATGTTGGAGGTGGCCCCACTTATTACTCATTTGGTTGATTTTTATGATCCTTTCTTTTCACATCACTCCATACTTTTTGTTCAGTAATCCTGTCCATCATTCCTTCACAAAGCTGCTGGCTACCTTCTGTCAGCCTTTTGTTGATAATCCTGAGGTTTCCCAAAGAAAAGCCCAAAACTGCTCTGTAACTAGCTGCATCTGTTGACTGCTTCTGTCACCTGTGCTAGCAACTGATTTAACTGGTTTTTTTTGAAAAACATGTTATGGTCCCATTCCTAGTACAGTGTAACTTTCACTATACTTGTGTGAATAATGAAGATGTATTGTGGTGGTTAAGATGCTATTGAAAAGGATATCTGCTCTGTTGGATATCTAGTTTATTTTATGAAAGTATAACATTTAAAAAATTCGAACAGTTATTATTTTTAGATAGAGACAATAAAGGGAGAAATTAATACAAAATGAGTTGCGTATCTGTGGTGTGATAGTAATTGACATAATTGAGTATGCAAGTTAGGTATAATTCTTAATGAGGTCACACAGAATACTGAGAAGAATCACAGTGTCATAAATTATTATTAAATCTGCTTTTCTTAGGTTCACCAGTTCAGTAATAAATCAACAGAAATGGCTTTAAGAGTTGCATCACTTGACTATCTTGGAACTGTAGCTGCAAGACTGAGGAAAGATGCAGTCACTAGCAAAATGGATCAAGGATCTATAGCTAGAATCCTCAAACAGGTATGTGAAAAGTCCCATGCCAGGTGGACTGGACTGGATTGCTGTGTATCTATTCAAATGTTTGAAATCCATGAAGATTTGTTTAACATAACAGTAGTAAAGAGAAAACTGAAAAGAAAAAGTTCATAAAAAAACTGGCATATGGAGAATCAGCTTTCATTATTGTTCAGGAATCTGAACAAAATCTGTTTGCTTTATAAGAATCAAATTTTTTTAGTTCTTGTGTCTTTCTTGTATCAGCTCCCTATTGACTGTTATTTACAGAATTGTAGCAATAAAGAGTAAATAATGGAGCTACAGTAGCAGCTGAATTCTATCTTAAGAGTCATTAAAACTATCACAGAATGTCAGGGATTGGAAGGGGCCTTGAAAGATCACGTAGTCCAATCCCCCTGCTGGAGCAGGAACACCTAGATCAGGTCACACAGGAATGTGTCCAGTTGGGTTTTGAGTGTCTCCAGAGAAGGAGACCCCACAACATCTCTGAGCAATTTGTTCTGGTGTTCTCTTACCTTACTATGGAAGAAGTTTTTTCTCATATTGATGTGGAACCTCCTGTGTTCCAGCTTGCACCCACTGCCCCTTGTCCTATCATTGGATGTCACTGAGAAGAGTCTGGCTCCATCCTCCTGACACTCCCCATTACATATTTGTAAACATCAATGAGGTCACCCTTCAGTCCCTTCATCTCCAAGCTAGAGAGACCCAGCTCTCCCTCAGTCTTTCAAGATATTCCACAATGATTGATGAATGCTTATGACTGTTTACTGTGGTTTGGACTCATCAGTCATATAATCAGATCTTTGGGAAAATCTATTCTCTTTTGATGTTTTTAAATAGATACTTTTCTTTGAAATGTATCAGTTTGACATGTTTGATGACACTTGTTGATGCTTTTCATTAGCTTATTTCCTTATGCGTTGATCTTGTGAACTTGTAACTGTGCCTTTTCCCACTTGCTGATGTTTGCATGCTATATTGTGTATTGCAGTTATGACAAAATTCTCAATCTCTGCTTTTCATGCTGAATTTAAGATGCTTTTAGTTGTGAGATTTATTGCTGAAGAAGAAAAAATGTTTTCTAACTAAAGAAGTGTAAGAAATTATTCTATTTAGAGTTTTATTATCATTTTTGAGTATGACTTGTTGCAGGCTTTTGATATTGGTTTTTTATTATTATCTGTGTTTTCATGTTTCTTTTTATTTGACTTTTTGCCCTTAATGCCTTGTTCACCTGAGATGTCACTGTGCTGTTTCTGTGTTTTATTGTTGGTGATGATGTTTAAAGGTTAAAACTCTTGCCAATCTACTCTGTATTATTTCAGTTGTGTTTTTTTTTCTCACTGAGATGGAGTCTTAACATGTGATTACAAAATGAGATTTAATTGGATCAATCAATCTGTTTTAAGAACAGTCCTATGCTTCTTTCAATCCCTTTTAGACTTTGACTTCACTAAGTTTGATTTAGTTTGGATGCAGTTTACAGGTAATTCCTTAAAAAGCTGTTAATGTTTCGCAATTATCAAAACAATGAACCTCACTGTATTTTATTGATGAATGTGTAAATTGTCAGATAATTATTACCTCTGAGTTGATACTCTGTTTCATAGCTGACTTTTTCTTCTGACAGGCCTCAGGAGGAGAAGATGATATTCAACAACTACAAAAGGCTTTATTGGATTATCTGGATGAGAACACTGAAACTGATGCATCATTAGTGGTAAATTTCAGTTTTCTGATGTTGAGTATATATAAAAATAATTTCAATTAAATATCTATTGAATGACTTATGACTTTCAATCATAGAATCATAGAATCATAGAATCAGAATCACAAGGTTGGAAACGACCTGCAAGATCACCTAGTCCAACCGTCCTCCCATTACCATGCTACTACAAACTAAACCATATCTTGCAGCTCCTCATCCATGCCTTTTGAACACTGCCAGGGACGGCGACTCCACCACCTCTCTGGGCAGCCATTGCAGTGCCTGACCACTCTCTGAGAGAAAAAGTTCTTCCTTATGTCCAACCTAAACCTCCTCTGGTACAACTTGCGGCCATTTTCCCATGTCCTGCTCATTGCCTGGGAGATGAGGCCAAGTCCCTCCTCACCACAACCTCCCTTTAGGAAGTTTTAGAATGCAGTGAGGTCTCCCCTGAGCCTCCTCTTCTCCAGAATGAACAATCCCAGCTCCCTCAGCTGCTCCTCATAAGACTTGTGCTCCAGACCCCTCACCAGTTTCATTACCCTTCTCTGGACACATTCCAAGGCCTCAATGTCTTTCTTGTAGTGAGGAGCCCAAAACTGAACACAATACTCGAGGTGCGGCCTCACCAGTGCTGAGTACAGAGGGATGATCACCTCCCTGCTCCTGCTGGCCACACTATTTCTAATGCAGGCCAGGATGCCGTTGGGCCTCTTGGCCACCTGGGCACACTGTCGGCTCATGTTCAGCCGAGCATCAACCAACACCCCCAGGTCCTTCTCTTCTTCACACTCATCCAGCCACTCATCCCCAAGCCTGTAACGCTGCAGGGGTTGTTGTGGCCAAAGTGCAGGACCCAACACTTGGCCTTGTTGAACCTCATCCCATTCGCCTCAGCACAGAGATCCAGATCTAGATCCCTCTGATGGGCCTCCCTACCCTCAGGCAGATCAACACTACCTCCGAACTTGGTGTCATCAGCAAACTTACTGAGGATACACTCAATCCCCTCATCTAGGTCATCAATAAAGATATTAAACAAGGTGGGCCCCAGTACTGACCCCTGGGGGACACCACTTGAAATGAGTCACCAGCTAGACTTCACTCCATTAACCACTACCCATTGGGCACAGCCCTGTAGCCAGTTTCTTACCCAAAGAAGGGTACACCTGTCCAAGAAGGGTATACCTGTCCAGAGGTATGCATATTAGTCATGCCTATTAGTGCTTCAATTCAATTGTTACCCTGACGTCTGTTGTTGATTGTGTTTTCCAAAACATAGTTGATGCATCAGACTCACTCAGTCTTATTATGAATCTTTAATTTCCTTCTTCTACATCTGTTGTTTTTATTTCTATGTGTTCTCTATCTATCCAGTTTTCTCGGAAGTTTTATATAGCTCAGTGGTTTCGGGATACGACTATGGAGACAGAGAAGGCAATTAAATCTCAGAAGGATGAGGATTCATCTGAAGGAACTCATCATGCAAAAGATGTTGAGACCACAGGACAAATCATGCACAGAGCAGAAAGTCGCAAGAAGTTTCTTCGCAGTATCATTAAAACTGCTCCATCTCAGTTCAGTACATTAAAGTATGTTTCAGTACTGCTGATTTCTTCATTAACCTTTATGTGCATAAATCTTATGCATTTGATGTTTTAAGTTATTTTTTAATAAGCATATCCTAATTATCACATTTAATTTGTTGCAGGATTTATTCTGATACTGTGGACTATGAGGATGCATGTTTGATTGTTCGCTACTTGGCCTCTATGAGGCCGTTTGCCCAGAGCTTCGATATTTATTTAACACAGGTAAACTGTGCCAGAAGTCTTAGTACATTGAAACATAGCTTCTTTCTGATGCCGAACAATTTTAGAGTAGTGTGGAGTAATACCTATTCATTCTTGAGTACAGGTAGTTATCGTAGCTTGATCACATGCTTTCACATTCTGTAATGATGACATAAGCGCTTCTTTTTCTTTCATGCTTGTTATATGTCATACTGAGCATATGTTATTTTGTGTATGAATACAACAAAATCATTATATTAAATATACACAGTGGAAATGTAAAAGTTTCTGTCAGATGCATTTTCATTTGGTAATGCACACTCATGAAATGTATCATAATATGATTTGAAAATATAAGCCAATTTGGTCATTTATTTGCACATGGGCATGTTATACTTTGGAAGTTGTCTGACCAGGGTGATTTCTTTCCTTTTTCTGAGAGAAGAGGAATAACATGTTGTAATGGTGACATACTTGAACTTCAGTAATGGCTTAGGTTGCACTACTTTATGTTGATTTGCATACGGAGACAACTGTAGTTACATTGTCTAAATCTAGTTTTCCTGTTTTTAAAGAAAATGGTGAAAGCTGCTTATTAATGGCAAAAGTAGAGTTTAAAGTGAAGGGATGTAGAATAAACATATTGCCCTTGTCCTATTTGGACTAGTTTCAGCAGACACTGGCGAAAATTCATGCCTTGGAACATCATTTACATGCACCTGTGAGAAGATATATTCAATTTTTGGTAGACAGATATTCTTGTTTTAAGTAAATAGTTTGCATGTTACTCTTCTTCATTTTTGCCTTTGTTAAGCATTGTTTACTACCTTCCTAAAGCAACTTAAACTATTTTTATTCTCTTGTTAGATTCTGCGTGTACTTGGTGAAAATGCGATTGCTGTTCGAACAAAAGCCATGAAGTGTTTGTCTGAGGTTGTTGCTGTAGATCCCAGTATTCTAGCCAGGGTAAAAATAAAATATCCATTATGCATATGCATAAAATCTGTCACACCTAAAAGAAATCCGTATTTCTTATTTTGTATTTCTTTTATCTGTTGTTCTTAGCCTGATATGCAGCGGGGTGTTCATGGACGGTTAATGGATAACTCCACTAGTGTACGGGAAGCAGCTGTGGAGCTGCTTGGCCGATTTGTGCTCTGTCGTCCTCAGCTTGCTGAGCAGTATTATGACATGCTGATTGAAAGAATATTGGTATGGTGACTTTTGATATTTGTGATTAAATGACATTGGGAAACTTGTTTTCAGCAGAGTTTGTATGTTTAATAATTTAGAATTTTGATCCCAAAAAAGTAAATTATATTTTATTGTTTTAAATGGGTAGCATCATCCTGGTACTTCCAACCTTGTGAAATGCATTCTTGTTTCTGGTGAGGCGTTTTTACATCAGAAAATGTAATATGTGCAGAAAGCTGTACTGCAGCAGAACCAGGATCTATGTTTCTTTTGATTCCACTGATGAGGAACAAGCTAGGTATAATGAGGAATTATTCCATATCTCTGAAGTCTGAGATGTGGATCACTGCAAGCCATTTGGGGGACAGTGAAAAAAGATCTACAGCACAGTAATCTAAAGTTGACATTTGTAATTAAATTTTTTTTTAAAAAAAGGGAAGAAAAACTGGTTTATTTTTCTGTACTGTGTTTTTTGAAAGGTGTCATTTTAGTTTTTATACAAACTGCTTTCTTCTGTCTAGATGTTCAAATAAAATAGAATGTTAACTTAACTGTGAGACAACATTAGCTTTTAGTATCCATGTCAGGCAAGTTTTTAGTCAAGTACAACTCATTTGCTGTAGATATGGCATGAAATGTTTGTGAGGGACTTTATGCTTATAAGCATGAGAACATCTTGTGTCTTCCAGTAATATAGTTAAAGCATCACTGCATCTATCTATCTATCTTGCAAGCCATGGAAATGAAATTATGTGTTTGCAACATTGTGAGCTCTTAAAGCAGAGTGTGTAAGTGGAGGAAGCATTTCAGCATACTGAGCGGTCAGCCAGCCCTTCAGAATTGGTAGTAGAAGTTTATGCTGACCTTTCACATAAGTACACTCTAAAATATTTTAGCTGCTTTTCCTAAATACATTTTCCAAATTATTTAATGTTCAAATATTTGTTAATTTATCTCATAAATTAATTCATTTGTCTGGTTTGTTTTCAAGAGTAATGCTTTTCTCCTCACAGGATACTGGTATCAGTGTCAGAAAAAGAGTCATAAAGATACTTAGGGATATCTGCATTGAACAACCAACATTTCCCAAAATTACAGAGATGTGTGTGAAAATGATTCGGAGAGTCAATGATGAAGAAGGCATTAAGGTAGAATAAATGCATAATCCTCAAAATGAACATTGTTTTCTAAAGATTGCTTTGTTTGTAAATATTGTACCTAGTACTTGTAACTGGTTTTTGGGAGCTACTAACAAGTGAAATTGACATATAAAAATCCTTTCTGCAAAGAAAATAAGCTCAGGACAAAATTAATTACTTCACATCAGAATATGCCAGATGTGGAAGTTCTGCTTATAAATCATTTTGAGATATTTGCATGTGCTTATCTTGCATTTATTCTAAACATTTAATAAATCTGTTATTTAACCTGAAATGTGATTTATATGATCACATTCTACTCTTCCTGCATTGTATATGCTGAAGGGCAGAAAACTAAGATTAAATGATAAATCACAAACTTGACACTGATGTGTTTGTTTAACTTGGCAACAGAATTTTCAAAATAACTGGGTAATTAAGAATACACCTGTAGTAGTTTTGCATAAAAATACAGTAGGATTAGAAAACTTCAATTTTACAGTCATGACAAGTATTTTTACCACTTGAGACTCATTAATGTCGAGTGGCATTCAGAAGAGACTGTTAATCAAGATGTAGGATCCAAGGTACTGGAGGCTGAATCCAAGATTCTGCAACAAAAGAAGGATGACCTTATTCTGTCTGCTGCTTTTCAACAACCTCAGAAAAGTGTGGCTGTGTCTGTGCAACATATTTTTATGTCTCTGTGGATCAGGAGAGATTTTACAACTGTATAAGCAATGCAAGAATAATTTTATCTCACTTCCATTCTAATCCACCTTTTCCACTATCAAAAACACTGGAAGAGAACCTGCTTCCTAAATTTGACTTGGGTTGTCTCTCTACTCCACCTTACCCAACTGTTCTGGAAACTCCAAAGTAATCTTTCACTGTGCTAATTCTGCTGTAGAAATCATAATCTTGTTTTCAGTTCTTTTCCCAAAAAATGCAAATGAATGAAGAAAATTTGTAATCGTATGTACAGAATGTAGCATTAATTCTCAGCAATCAGTTGGCACTTTTCCTTGTTTAGAAGCCATTGTAACTCCCAGGAGGTAAGAGTCTGCCTCAGACTCTACAATTGTCTTATTTATTTTGAGTAATTTCTTATGAAATCACATGTGTCATGGGCAAGCCTAATAGGATAGAATAGTTACATACCAAGATAGACTTGTTTTTGTTTTTTTTTTCCTTTCAGAAATTAGTAAATGAGACATTCCAGAAGCTGTGGTTTACTCCAACTCCACACCATGATAAAGAAGCAATGACTAGGAAAATACTGAACATCACTGATGTGGTATGCTGTATAAATTTGAATTAAATTGTATGCAAAGCTTGATTACGTTTTTTGTGTATTAGAAGCATTATCTGTAGTCTTTTAGAAACAAAAAAGTATGAAATTGGCTTGTCAGGTGGTTTTTACTTCATCTTAACTGAGTTCTCCTGATAATTATACTTCAGAGCACCTGCATGATGATGTTAATGCATGATGAGGATTAAGGATTGGCTTATTTATAAAAAAATGTATATGTATACAACTTCATTTTTGATATGTCAAGCTTTGATTTGTACAAGATGTTCTACAAAACCAAAATTTGCAATGGCCAGTAATATATTCTGAAACTGCTTAAATTATAAGAACTATTTTCAAATGCATAAAATTACTTCTAATCTCTGAAGATACAAAAGCATTGCACTCCGTGCATAGTTTCACCCTGACAGACAGCTGAAATCCACCACAGCTATTCTCAGATTCCCCCACCTCAAAGGAAGAGGAGGAGAAAAATACAATGGAAGAGAGCTCAAGTGTCACGATAAGGACAGCGAGATGGTTCAGCATGGGCGAAAACTCAGCATAGGGAGATCAGAGCAATTTATTGCTTGTTCCTAGCAGACCAGAGCAGTGAGGATTAAAAGCATACTGAAAACACCTTCCCCCCCCTCCACTCTCAACTGCATCCTCCCCTTGAAGGAAACAAGGGAACAGGGAATGGCAGCCCATAGTTCTTCTTCTCTACCAATTCTCCATAGTCACTGTGCCCCTCTTCTGTGTGAGATCCCATGGAATGCCATCCTCCCTGAACTGATCCTTGTGGACTTCTGCAAGGTGGCAGCTCTATGAGTGCTGTCCCAACACAGTTCTCTATTATGGGGTTCACCCTTCAGGAGCTCGGTGCTCCAGTACTTTTCCCCACAGATGGCAGCACTCCTAGTCTACCTGCCCCACCAACGGCTGCTCCCAATGGGCTGCATCTCCTATCCTAAGACTGCTCCTGTGGGGGCTCTCCATGGGCTGCAGCCTCCTTCAGGCCTCATCCACTGCTGCACCATGGTTTCCTCCATGGCTGCATGTGCAAATCTGCTGTGTGTGGTGCCCATGGGCTGCAGGGAACAGGCTGCTCCACCTTGGGCCTCTCCAGGGCTGCAGAGAAATTCAGCTCCACGCTTGGAGCATCTCCTGCCCTTATTCTATACTGACCTTAGCTCCTGAAGGGCTGCTTCTATCTATATTTTCTCACTCAGAAAATTTTTTTACATTTTTTCCCTCAGTCGCTGCTGCTCTGTAGCAGTTTTTTGCCTTTAAATAAGGTACAACCAATATTATTGCTTCAGTTCCTGTCTGTGGCAGATCCCATTTGGAGCAGTTGAAGCTGCCTGTGATCTGTCAGCAGAGCTTCTGGGCTCTGCTTTTGGTAGTTTCCCCTATGGCCACCTTGCTACCAAAACCTCATCACATACAGTTTACATAGCGTAGTAAAATATATGTACGCTGTTATTGAAGTTCTTCGGGTTCCTCTTTTAATTGGTTTATTTTCACTACTGCTTTTAGGTGGCAGCTTGTAGGGATACAGGGTATGATTGGTTTGAGCAGCTTCTTCAAAATGTGAGTATTACAATTTTAAGGTATGAGACTGTTATAAGAATATTAACATTTCTTTTGGTACTAAGACACACTGGAAGGAGACTATAGGAGAAATCCTTTAAAGTAAATTCAGTTGATGTTCTTTAAACTCAACCTTTCTTTGTTTTGCTTTTTGGCTTTATTGCTGCAGTTTTTTGGGTTTTTTTTTGATGCTAGTTTCTGTATTTCTGTATGATTTGTTTTAGAAATGTTCTATGTACTGATTTTCATTTTGGGAAATTTTAGGATTTTTGTTTTGTTTTGTTTTGTTCTTTAAATTCATGTTATCTTCAGTAATGACTAACATAATGTGAAGTCCACAGCAAGGAACTTAATTCTGAAATGAGTATCTGATGTAATGTTGGTTTATTTTTTTTCAATTGTATATAAGTGTATTTTCATATCTAACTTATTGAATGTTAGCAGTGAGTATTTAGAGTATTGCTTACTTCTACATTATATTTTACTCATTTTTATGAGAAATAAGCATGCTTTGTTTAGATCTGCTAGCTGTGGTATCTTTCTCATCTATTTTGTGTATGCTTTAATTTTCAAGGTATGGTTAATTTTCAAGGTATAAAAGCATGATTAGAGGAACTAAAGGTCTCAAAATACTTTACTTTAGTCTGGAGTGCCATGAAAATAGTTTGCCAAATCAACTGGCTGAAAGCTTGGATGGAGAAAAGGCTATTGTAAAGGATCAATCCTTGTTAAATAGTAAAGGATTTCAGGGGCGTAATTTCAATACCCTCAGTCATACAAAAGAAAGCTCAAACTGTTTCATCTTAGTTTCATGTTTTTGCTTTATGTCAAAAATGTTCCTTTTCTCTTTGCCCTTTTTTTTTTTTCCTTTCCCGAACATTTTTAACCTATTAGTTACTGTTTCCAATATAAGTGGATAATTGTTTTCCTCACAATTTCATGAAGCTTAATGTTAGCTTTTGTTCCAGTCCAAGCATCATCAGAATTACTCTCTTATGTCCTTTAGATGTAGGGTGTTGTTTTTTTGGTTGGTTTTTTTTTTTTTTTTTTTTTTTTTAACTTTTCTTGTGTTTTGAATTGATTTCCTAATTCATTTAAGATTTTCTTCATCACATAACTTTTATGGAATAGATAAAGAAATTATTTAGTAATGCAAAATCCTTGATTACTTGCAGAAATTATGGGTCTCTGGGCAGCCTGATCTAGTATTAGATCAGAAGCTTGGGTGTCCTGCCTGTGGCAGAGAGGCTGGAGCTTGATGGTCCTTGAGGTCCCTTTCAATCCAAGCCATTGTATGATTCTGTGATAAATCCAGTATGCATACATACATGAATCACTGTTAAATCATTTTCTGTTTCATTTGCTATAGCTGTTGAAGTCAGAAGAGGATGCCTCGTATAAACCTGTGAAGAAGGCTTGTACTCAACTTGTTGACAATTTGGTTGAGCACATCCTTAAATATGAAGAGTCTTTATCAGGTAAGTCTATTTAGAATCCAGCATCTAAACTGCTTTGAATTTTATATAAAACTTCAACAGTGATAGTTAAAATTACTTTAATGAAAAGTTACTTTTACGGAATTGCTATTAAAAAGTGAGCAGTAGTGAATTATTGCATGTAAACTCCTTAGGTACTTTTGAGCACTGTATAATGATAAAGCTTCCCTGATTTTCTCTATATAACTAGAATAACAGTACTACTTGAAAAATATTTGTTAAAATTTTTAGATCACTAAAAGCAAAAAAAAAATATTATTTGCCTTAATATGTTCTACAGTTGTAATAGGAATCATGTCTGTTCTTATTATTTCATGTACTTTGTGATTATATGCAAGTATTAGCAAATTATGTTCTCATTTCCAATGCTCTTAGCTAAGAAGAATGTATAAGGATATTCAGCATTGAAAGATGGAACGATATGTCTTGAAAAATATACTCCTACGGTGTTTAGGTCATATGTTTCTAATAGATCAATAAATACATCTAATATAGAATGTTTTCTCTATTATTGTATGTTTTCTTATTTTTGCAGATTCTGACAACAAAGGAGTGAATTCTGGTCGCTTGGTTGCTTGTATAACCACTCTGTTCTTATTCAGCAAAATCAGGCCCCAGTTAATGGTCAAACATGCCATGACCATGCAGCCGTATCTGGCCACTAAATGTAGTGTAAGTAGAGAAACTTTGAATATCAGCCTTCTTTTTTTTCCCCCCAGATAATAAGCAAAGAATTTAGAGGCTGTTTTAAATACTTGTTGGAATTGAAGATAGGAGGCTGTTTTAAATACTTGTTGGAATTGAAGATAGGAAAAGAGAAATTAAATAGCATTTCTATTTCATGAGCTGAAGATGTTAGGTTCTTTTGATCGTCTGTGTAGCTAATAAGTTTTACAGTCAAATGAAACAGAAACTTATTCTGCCTCTTTAAGGATTGAAACCCAGCTATTCAGCTATTATATAATAATTTCTTAAAATTGCTGTCTCACAGTCAGAGTCTTTAGTTAAGATTTAATATATTAATATTGCAACTAAAGATATGGTTCTGTGTGGCACGATGACTTAACCTGTATCTAATATAACAGAAAGGGACTGTCCTTCTCTGTTCTTTTCAACACTTAACCTCTCAGTTCTCTACCATCCACCTATCCAGCCTTGTTTTTTTGTGTTTCTTTATGAGACAATTTAGTTTAGAAAAATGTTAGAGAGATATAATGCTAAACCCCTCAGACCAGTAAAATTGTCCACCTGCTCTGAAAAACTGTGGAGCTCTCTGGCATTTTGATTTGCACAGTGAAGGTTTTGGCAAAGCATGGATTTGCCAGAAGAAGCAGGGCAGATAATGTTGCTATGGTTAAAAGAAGAGAATGGCTGAGTGGCTGGCAGCACTGCAATTACATTTACGTTAGCTGCTTGTGAAAGGGCAAGTTTGTTATCAGATGAGCTTATAGGTGTATCTTAGCATTTTTAGCTCTGGAGTATTCTGTAGGCACATTACAAACTTTCAAAGCTGCTTCTGATTAAACAGAGGATTAAAAAGAGATTATTTGCTGTAACATCTCCTTCATGGATTTCATCAGTTTTTTACTTTTAGAAGTTGAGATTAATTGTAGAATATATTAAATAGCTTGATATAGTGTATGGCAATTATCATGATTAGTACGCCTGATTTGTCAAAAAAGTCAATTTTTGTCAGGACATATATTAAATATATGCAGTGTTTTCCGCAGATCTCTCAGTTACAGTCCTGATGATTATTCATGCTATTAATCATTTTAATTGTAATTTTTACATTTGTGGACATAGTGTGACTTCATTTGTTACCCAGTGTTGTGATCCCTGGTGTATGTATCAGGAAGTGTTCTGTGATCTTGTTATAGAGCTCTTAAAAAAAAAGAAAAGTCAATTAGTTAAATATAATGCTATGATAAAAAAACTGAAAAATTTTTAAGCCTCCATACAGCCCAAATGAAAGATGAAGTTATGGTACTACAGATTTTTTTCCAGAGGTTCCATAAAAACAGAACTAGCTTTCAAAATAATAAGCAGATAGCAGATTGAAACTATTTAAATAGCCTTCTAAATGTTTACTAAATGCCTCAGTCATATTATACATATGTTGGAATTTTTGGCTGTCAGTGTATATAAATAAAACTTAGTTTATAATTAACAATCAGAAATGTTGTTAATTAACTCTGTGAATGCTGTTGTTTCAGACTCAGAATGATTTCATGGTGATCTGCAATGTTGCAAAAATCTTAGAGCTTGTAGTGCCGCTAATGGAGCACCCAAGTGAGACTTTCCTAGCCACTATTGAGGAGGACCTCATGAAACTCATCATCAAATATGGCATGACAGTAAGCTTTAAATTGCTGATATTCAGTTTTTGATTCAGTTTCACGGTTTTCATTTAAAGAAAGTCTGTCTTCATCATAAAGTTGCTTTTACGTCAGACAAAAAAGGATTTATTGGTTTGATGGAGATTTACGTATTGCTGATATACAACGTCTGCTCCGAAAGTAATGCCTTCTATTTTATTATGTTGGCTCACAATGTCAGAGGCGGGTGTTGGTGGAATGGCAGTAGAGGCTGAAACCTTCCTCCAGTATTCCATTAGATTTTGTTGCCATGTGACAGATGCCAGCAGTGGGGCAGCCTGACAAAATCACACCTGACATGGAAGTATGTATAAAGTGAAGATGAGTCGTTGAATTCCTCTATGCAGAATAAATGGTGATCACTGCCATTCATCCACGCTTGCTGAATGTTTATGAAAATTGAACAGTGAGTGTGAGCACTATGAGGGGGTGGATGTTGCTTTTCTGCAGTGATGACAATAACATGAAAGATAAGCCACATTCTAGATGGCCAAGTACAGTTGTCAAGCCATGACATGAAGAATGTCTTGATCAGCTCATCCACACAAATTATCTGATGGTAGTGACTACATTGAAAAATAATTTTGTAGCTGAGAATTTGCTCTATCTTTGTGTCTGTTGTAGTTTCCATGAAAATAAATTAGGAGGCATTACTTTTAGTTTGACATACATACTTTAAATGATTATGAGTTTGGGCAGGTTTTCAAAGCAGTCTAGGAGACTGACTTTTGGAGCATTTGTTTTCATTATATATAATTCCATAAAAATTTCAAGTTTAAGTTGTAATTACATGATTAATTTGTTATTTCTTGCTCCTAGGTTGTTCAACATTGTGTGAGCTGCCTTGGGTCTGTTGTGAACAAAGTCACCCAGAATTACAAGTTTGTGTGGGCCTGTTTTAATAGATACTATGGTAAGTAAAATTATAACATTATTTTTTCAGTTTTGATTACGAGCCTTAGGGATGCACCATGTTTAAACACTGTAATTAAAACTTTTACTGTAGGTGCACTTTCAAAATTAAAAAGTCAACACCAAGAAGACCCCAACAGTACAATACTTACTGCCAATAAACCAGCACTCCTTAGATCACTTTTCACTGTTGGAGCACTGTGTCGGCATTTTGATTTTGACCATGAAGATTTTAAGGGCAACAGTAAGGTAAAAGTAACTCATATTTACTCTCCAAATCTCACGTATATTGAATGCTTTACTTTTATTTAAAAGCACAGCATTCCTTGCTGCTCAAAGCTACGTTTTTTCATAATGCATACAGTAATATTTTTTGGTTTGTGAGTCCACGTAAAGACTGTGCATTAATATTGTGTATCTCCTTTATTTTTTGTTTTTTTTTATGGGTTTTGTGAGAGATTAAAAACATTCGTTTCATCTCCAAATAGCTGTTATTTTTTTGTTTTAATTTGCTTAGGTTAACATTAAGGATAAAGTACTTGAACTGCTGATGTATTTTACAAAGCATTCAGATGAAGAAGTACAGACAAAAGCCATTATTGGCCTGGGTAAGACATGCTAATAGTTTTTATTTTTCTGCAGGAGCACACATTTTTCTGTAATGAAAGGGGAATTTATATGAAATCAAACTTCACTGCGTGTTTATTTGACAAATTGCTAGGCAGATGTTGTCAAAGGGATGGTAGCTGTATGTGTCTGCTGCAGGGTTTTGACAGAGAATACTTTTTGATGTGTGTCTAAGTTTTAAAAACTAGTGGATTTCTAAAGTAGTAGAGATGTTATTTTTTCCCCCACAGGCAGATACGTTGTAGCTTCAATTCTAGTTTTTCAGTCCTCAAGGCATGATTAAGGAATAACTAGAAAAAGTGCTGGGAATGTCCTGAGCATTCTAAATGTAGCTGGGTCTTCTGCAGGAGTCATGGCAACTCTTGCAACTTACACCACGTGGGAGACGTTCTGTGAGATTTCACTGGTCATTGAGATAATGCCATAGCCTAAATATAGATTTCTGCCCTAGGGTTTTGTCTGTATTTCAATTTTAAGTAGGTGCTTTGTCTGAAGGCAGCAGTATGGTGTATGTGACTTGCAGTAGTATTTAAACTGCTGTTGAGTGTTCTGCATCATATTCATCCTCTGCTCAATATATTATATACTTATGAGAGGACCTTGTTTGGGCAAATAGGCCTTGGTTTCCCAAGCAGTTCTGTTCTCATGCATGTGAGATTGCTATAATTTAGCCGTGAGCTGTAGTTTAACTATGGAAAGGAATTCGTCTCCTTAATGCCGATGTTTTGGTCACTTTTTAGATGACTAAGAACCAAGACTTATTCTTGTTGTGATATTCTGTGAGAAACCATTTCAAACAGGTAGATTTGGCTAATTGCTTTGGAGTAGCTTCAGGTGCAGGAATAGTGCTACAGTGTTCTGCACTAGCTTTTCAAAGCACTTCACCAAGGTGCACAACACTACCTATTTCAGTCTACTTTAATTGCTCTCCCCAGGATGCTGCATGTAGGACAGAGGCCACCGGACTAACTGTAGGCATGATTGCTTTACTCACAGGTGCTGACAATATTGCTTAGCCAAAAATGTTGCTAAATTCATGTGAACTGTGATCAGTTTTGGGGGATGGAGTAGAAGTAGAATAGGCTTTTTTTTACTCTCTGCCTGCAATCACCTTGTTCCTCATTTTAATTAAACTTCTGACAACTGTTTTAAGTGGCTCATCTAATCTGTGTTTGCATTCTATTTGAGGACTAGCTGTTGCAAGTGTCCAGATTTGGTATACAGGACAAAGTTCCATCTTACTGGCTGTTAACTGAACTGTTGTCAAGTCATTCAACATTTGTGCACAACAAGATTGAAAGGACTAACAAGCAATTTTAACATTCATACGCAGTTAAAGATTCACATGAAGAACTTGTACTTTCCTATCAGTAGTTGCTAATGAAACCTTTCAGAGAGGGCAGTAAACAGGTTTAGCATTTGCTTTGGTATGTATCACTCCAGTTGAGGAATTCAGCATAACTGTAAGTCTTTTGAAGAGTGATTGTGGTTCTTTTCCAAGAAGTCAAGTCAGGTTGAGGATTTAAAATTTAGGTAGTAAATATAGCTATACCTACAACTATCTAACAGGTAGAGACTTACTTGGCCAAGGCTGACTCTTAACAGAATGAACGTAGCAGATGTTTTATGTTTCATCCCCTATGAGAAATTATTATACCAAGTAAGATTTCTTCCCCACTTACAGAATATGGAATGTAAGCATCTCTTTGAGAATACTGGTGTTCTTAAACTCCTTTGAGTGACTGAAGGAAGGAGTGGATTATGGGCTGTTATACATACATGTGCTATGCTTTTGTTTTTGTTTTAAATTAACCTGAAAAATGGATTGAACTTGCTCAGACGTGATTAACTTATAAATATTATTATACAGTTGTACTGAGTACACAATTATACTATATACTTCAGAGACCATCATCACTATTTTTCTTCTTTTTTCCCTTTTTCCCCTGTCTCTGCCTTCTGTACTCTCCTTATTTTGAGATTGAAATGAGGTCAGTCACATTGAGGTTTTGCCCTAGATTTAGCCATTATACATACTGTGTCTGCAGAGTCTTTTTTAAAAATCTAGCTTAGTCTTCCCTTCATGACAGCCACTCTAATACTTTGCATAATTTATTATTATTATTATTATTTTTGCTGTCACTGTTTTCCCATTCAGTTTTTTATGTTGTCTCTTTGTTCATTGAGGGTATTAGCTTCCTGTAAGTCATTTAATGTCCACTTTTCCTTAACAGCCTTAAAAGAAAAAGTAAAACAGTAGTTAAACGTAGTTAAAATAGAGACATAGTGCTGTTTTTTATGGAGCGGTGAAGGGTGGTCAGCAGCACTTCTAAATATACACACATAATCTATAATGATGCATACAGCTACTAATTTATATTTAAGATTTTATGAAATAAAGACTTCTCGGACTAAGAGTAGCCAATTCTTTCTGAAGGGTAAAGCTGCATCTGAAAACACTTTTGTAGTGTCTATCTTCTGAAAGTTGTAGTTTTGGAAGCACTTACAGAGAGTTTTCAAGATTCCTTACTAGGTATGTGACTGATGATAGCAGGAGGTATAAATTTTATTTTATTCTGATCACTATGTTATTTTCTTTTAAGATTTTATTTTTAAGTGCTTGTAATTTTTATCAGTTTTTCTATAACCGACTATTTCTAGTTATGTTCTTCACTTGTTCTCTAGAGAGCTTCTAATCATTTAGGTGCAGGCCACCACACTGGATGTGCTTCTGGATGCATGTAACTCTTCTTTCTGCAGCTGCCCTGGGTCAGCATTCCGTATTTATCAAGTGTATTGCAAGTGTTTTGCTGTAGCTGATAGAATTCCTTATAAGTTTTGGACGATGACCATGTGAAAAAGCAGTTCTGTTTGGACTAGGAAAGCAATACTGTTGTAGGAATGGGAGGACATACATTTCACACCTTTATTTTATAGCAAGACTTAAAAAATAGTAATACAATTTCAATATTATAATAATGTGGAATATGTCCTATTTTTCCACCCTTAGGATTTGCGTTTATACAACACCCAAGCTTAATGTTTGAACAGGAAGTAAAGACTCTGTACAACAGCATTCTTTCAGATAAGAACTGTTCAGTAAACCTAAAAATCCAAGTGTTAAAAAACCTGCAGACCTACTTGCAGGAGGAGGACACACGTATGCAGCAGGCAGACAGAGACTGTAAGTGTTGAGTTCTTCTGTGATAATTACTTCATCTGTGTAAAATCTAACTTTCTCGTGTACAATCACTGTATATGTTAACTGAATCACTTGAAATTGTTGTTTATTAATAATGCTGTCCATGAAGTATCCTCGAGGTATTTTCAGAATTCATTATGTGCCATAGGTAAATTGAGAAGTGTAGCTTACTATTAACTTTCAAGATGTATAAATCCTGGAAGCAAATCCAAAATACGTAATTGCTATAGTGATGATAGTAATACTTTCCTTCAAAATCTTATCTGAGATTAATCTGTAGATACAAAATGAGAAATATTAAGGAATTTTTAAAAGCATTTACTAAGGAACAAGAATTTAATTAAGTTCACATCTCTAGTTATCTATCTTGAAGAATATCTACCTTCGAATTGTTCTGTTATTCATGAGGTCATAAAACCCATTCTAAGACAGCTGAAATGTTTGTGTACATAGTAAAACTTAGTTATCAATTATGTGTCAATTAATGGTAAACTAAGTTATTATACTGTTGTGAGTGTGCTGTTTATTTTATCCTTTCTACAGGGAAAAAAGTAGCGAAACAGGAAGACCTGAAAGAAATGGGTGATATTTCCTCAGGGATGAGTAGTTCCATCATGCAGCTGTATCTCAAACAGGTCCTTGAGGCTTTCTTTCATACCCAGTCCAATGTACGCCACTTTGCTCTAAATGTCATTGCACTGACGTTAAACCAGGGTCTCATCCATCCTGTTCAGGTATGGTAGGCTTTTCTGATAGGGAGAATGGGGTTGTTATTGTTACAGGTTTTTACACTTGCTAGGTGAACTTCCAGTGTTCCTCTTCTAGCTGTATTACAGTGATTTCTTATTGCAGCAAAGGCACTTTATAGGAAACATACTTTAAATATGTGTTAGCTGGTTAGCCAGCGAGATTCCAAATGTTTTTTTCTTGCCTTTGGATCAAGATGTCTAGCCAGTAACTAAAGAGCACGTGCAGATTGTCACGGGATCATGTTACTTTTCTTTTGTAAACTGCCAGGTCTTTTTCTTCTACTTTTTGCACTGAAAACTCCGTCGGCTTGCCTCTACATCAGTATTCATATCCTCCACTGTCCGAACTGTCTTCAGTTGTAATCACTATTATTCTTACACAATGTTTTTATTTATATTATTTTTATTTGTATTGTTTTTAATGCTGCAGCCATCGTGCATGTTCAGTCAGAAGCAATATGAGTTTTTTTAAATGGCATTTTTTAGAGTTTGAGAAAAATAGGAACACAACCTGAGACCTTGCACAACTTATAACATCACTTTTAATGCTGGTCTTTCTTGTATATTGTACTCTACGTGCAAAAATACTCTGAAGGTTAAGCTGCAGAGGGCTTACTATTCTAATTTGTACAGTAGTCAGAATACAAGAACAGTATAATGGAAGAACAAAGAGTGAGAAAGAGGTAGTATAATGACCAAATAATCATTTCATTTGTTTTTCAAGTGTGTGCCATACTTAATTGCTATGGGCACAGATCCAGAGCCCTCTATGCGAAACAAAGCTGACCAGCAGTTGGTGGAAATAGACAAAAAGTATGCTGGTTTCATTCACGTAAGTAATTCTAATGTAAAGTTTTATACCATACTGTTTGTTGATGGTTTAGCTTGAATGTGCCACAGCTGCAGAAGAAGAATATAAACTAACAATCAATATAAGCAATTGTAAAGAAGATCCCAACTCTTTCTCCTGCTTGAAGGTTTCTGTTCCTGAAAACACGAAATGTGTAATAGAATACAACCATATGAAGCATCAGTTTCAATTTATAATTTCCTTTAGTTTCTAATTCACAATATTTTCTGCACTGGATAGTACATAAGAGTATTTATTTTATAAAAGGTAAGGATAGCTGTTTCAGTAAGTTTAGCAGTAACTTACCTATGTCTATATACAAAGGATCAGAACACCTTGCTCACAGAAGAGGTCCTTAGAGTAGTTTGTATTTGAATTTTTAGAGCATTGAAACTTAATTGACATGTAATCTGATCACTGGCAGCGTAGAAAGGTATTTAGAACTGGGAGATCTTGCTAAAGGAAGATCTGAGGGCTGAGTCTGCGGACTTGTCGACTCGTGGCATAGTGTCATTAGTTCTGGTTGAGATGTGAAGCAGAGTTGCAGAACTTTTACCTCATTGCAGAAGATCCCATTCTTGGTTCAACCTGTGTACTGCTTTATGAAGGTTCCAAAATCTACCTGTATTTCTACTGAGATTGAAACACTGTATTGTTCATGATATCCAAACATATACTTAATGCAGTAGGTGAAGGCCAACTATGGTGTTTCTTTGTAGGCAGTTGTGGTATAAAACACTGTATACATGAGGAGATAATCATATTGAAATGAAGAAAAGGATTTATGAGGAGAGTTGTATCTGCAGCCTACCTAAAGATTCAGTTTGCTCTGAAAATAGACTAGTAGCCCTGAAGTAAGCAAAATCAGCAAGAAATTCTATTACATGTGCAAAAAAAATCTCATTTTCTGATGGTTAATTTCCACTAATATGTGCTCAGCTTTGGTTTCACTACAGTTTACATAAGCATATATATTTGGTAAATTATTCTACAGATATATGAACATTTATCTGTTCTTGAAAGCAGCTTAAATGGAATACCGTGCTGCGGTTGGTAAGCAGATTAGCTGTAAATGTCTTACATGGGTAAGTGGTGAAAGCATTTTGCAAGACATTTTCCACCACAAATTCTCCACCACAAATTCTGTTATAACCTGTTTAGCAACACAAGAGCAAATCAAGATCAGATCAAGAACTCGAGAGTATCATTACATAGAATGTCTGAAAGCTAAAATTCAGGTGAGCAGCTGCTTAAAAGGAAATAAGCTATTTCTTAATATAGATGCTAGTGGTTTCTTTTCACCGACATTTGTTTAAAATTTCCCATGGCAAGATTTATATTATTTCACATTTCAGTTTTACTTCTCGGAAGCAATTTAAATAAAATAAATACTTTCTCATTTCAGATGAAAGCAGTTGCTGGTATGAAGATGTCTTACCAGGTACAACAGGCAATCAATACCTGTCCAAAGGATCCCGTAAGAGGCTTTAGACACGATGAATCATCCAGTGCATTGTGTTCACACCTATACTCTATGATCCGAGGGAACCGTCAGCACAGACGAGCATTTCTAATTTCTTTACTCAATCTCTTTGATGATACTGCAGTAAGCATTGTCTTTCCTTCCAAAAAGAAATTTGATATAGCATTATAAGATTAAATTCTCCTTTCACAATGTATTTTTATGACATAATTATTGATAATTTACTTCCCTAGTATGTTTTGTTTTACTCTGTAATATGAGGCATTTACCTGTGTAACAGAATGTGCTTCTTAATTTTGCATCCGTCTGTATCTTTCTATATCCCAGTTTGGATTGTTTAGAAATAATGTATGTTCATCTCAACATATGTTCTTTAAAGTGGAATGGGAAGTACCTAGAATAAAATCTGTGATCATTATTTTTGCTCGAGGTTGCTAAGAGCACCGTGCAAGTGTTTGAGTCTGATGTATTTGTGTGTGTATTTATATGTACACTTATATTTTTTAATTTATTTTCCAGAAAACAGAGGTGAATATGCTCTTGTACATAGCAGACAATCTAGCCTGTTTTCCTTATCAAACACAGGAAGAGCCACTGTTTATAATGCATCATATAGACATTACACTATCAGTTTCTGGTAGTAACCTACTACAGTCATTTAAAGAGGTATGTGCCTTTAATATAATTATCATAGTGGAAACATAAATTTTTCTATAATTTCAGCAGTTTTTTAGTGAGTGTAGTATGATTATGATGATATGGGCAAGCAGCATTGCTTTATAATCATTAGTTGAAAAATAAACGACCCCTTTCTGCTCTTGCCTGGATCTGGAAGATGCTAATTAAAACTTTCCTTACAATGCTGCTTATGTTATTAAAAAAGAATGATGATTTTTGAGACACTAATATGAAATACCTGTAATTCTGTAGTAATTCTGAGAAATAAGAAGTTATGTGAATCACTATAAAATGCTGATTTATTGTGGTTGTTCTAATAAATAACCATGTTTGCTGTTTAATTTGCTTTGTTGTCAAGTAAAGGATGTTATTTTTACGTGTTTCACCTGAGAAACTTAAACTACACTGTTTACTACAAGAAAAGAGTACAGAAAATGTAATTGCATAAGGTGGCATATAAAAACCCTGGTTGTAGCATCTGTTGTAACTGAATACACAACACTGTAAGCAAAAGACCTCTGTTTCTCAAATACTTAAGAACCTTATTTTCCTGGACAGCTCTAAAGCTGTTAGGTCCAAGCTGTAAGGGAGCAAGCCCATTTCAAGAATTTCCAATCTGACCATAAAGTCACCTGATGCCTGGAAACTACGATGTTTTGAGTGCAACCCCACAAAAACTGCTTTTTAGTCTGCAGCAATCTGGAGTACATTCTTCAGATGGAGCACCAGGGTGTAGCGCCAGTGTAGCACAGTGAGGATACCCACAGGGACATCAAGTTATGTGTTATGAAAAGTCAGAGTAGCTGTGTGGTAATAATGCAAGTGTGAAACTGTAGCTCTACAAGTAGCAGAACTGATTTCATTTTCTGTGTATTATTGCTTGGGATTTTTTTGATCAACAGTGTAATAATTAATATGATAGAATTTTAACAGAAGCAAGAATTAGAAGAAGCTGAGACTTCTCTGTACCTACATGTGGAAGTATATGTAATGCACAAAAATGATATCCAGTGTCAGAAAAAAGCTTGCCTTATATTTGTTTTATTGTATTCTGCCTTCTAACACATTTTTCTGGTGCTATTAACACTACTTTTTGAAACTGCTGTGAATTCTTTGTTGCTTCATTTACTTCTGCTGTATCCACCTTGCAAAAAATGTGGTCTTCAGATCAGCTTTTCTGAGGGGGATCCAAAGGACAGTTGAGTATCTTTTCACCATAAGTAATTTTAATCTTTCAATTTATGAATTAATAACATTGTTCAGGGAATTCATGCTGATCTCAGCCAATGATGATTTTAGAAAAATTTTTTAGAAATGTGCTACTTTACCCTAATTATGCACTGTGTGTTAATTCTGTTTCACAGTCTATGGTGAAAGACAAAAAAAAGGAAAGAAAGCCTTCATCAGATGAGGAGACTGAGAGTGACAGTAATACTGGCAGTGAGAGTGAAAGTGAAGAGGAAGCTTCTAAGCCTCGGAGGTTACGAAAACGAGTAGATTCTGATTCAGATTCTGATGAAGAAAATGATATAAATGCTGTGATGAAATGTTTACCAGAAAACTCAGCTCCTTTAATCGAATTTGCAAATGTGTCTCAAGGCATATTATTACTTTTGATGCTGAAACAGCATTTGAAGAACCTTTGTGGATTCTCTGATAGGTAAGGATACTTAGATAATCTAGTCTTTTATTAAGGATTAAGTCTGGACATTTAAAAAAAATCGATTGTAACTCAGTGTAATCAGCAGCTTTGTGTAAGGGAATAAGCGTAGGTGTAAGAGGTTGATGCAAAGAAACAGAAATGTTAGCTTAGAAAAAGCAATGACTTCATTTCTTATCAGGATGTCTGTTGTATATGAAATGATGCAAATATATCTGTATAAGCTGAAGATTTTAAAAGCTTTTCTTTGAAATTTTTTGCAACGTCCGCAAAAGCTTCTCTCTTATTTTCATTAAACAGTAAAATTCAGAAATATTCTCCATCTGAGTCTGCAAAAGTTTATGATAAAGCGATAAACAGGAAGACAGGAGTGCATTTTCATCCAAAACAAACTCTGGATTTTCTGCGGAGTGATATGGCTAATTCCAAGATCACTGAAGAAGTGAAGAGGAGTATAGTAAAACAGTACTTAGATGTAAGTAAAGTTGCCCAGCAGGATATCTAAAAGTCTTCTAAACTAGCTAACACAATACAAACTTGAAAGAAGATGCTCATGGACTGATGAACATTTCAAATTTCAAAATGTTATTTTCCTGGTAATCTTATGCAATATTATGATAACACAACTTCTTTTCAGAATGCTTAGCTGTGTTATTTTTCATAGTCTCCTAATAAATTTAAACACAATAAACAATAATTTCAGCTGAGCAATATTCATCTTTACAAAGTATTTTCGAATTTCTGATATCTTTTCCTTTGTGATTTGTTCTTTTTGACCGTGGTGGCTTCCATCAGAGTAAAATAGAATAGATCCAGTACATTTATCTTTTCTTTTTCTTCTTGGCAGTTCTTTAAAATATTAACTAGAGAAAACTTGGAAGTTATGGAAACTTGGGAAGAAAGCTTTAGATATCCAGTAGGAAATGAGAGGACAGAAAGCAGTGTGTAGAGGAGACCACAGGAGCTGTTCAAGTTTGAAGCTGCCTTTTGTTTTACTGCATTCTTATGTTGCCTTTTGGTTTTATTTAATGTCGCATCTTATAAATATGTATTTCAAAAGTTAAAGTGTAGACTGACCTGTGTGGTCTCTTTTAGTTCAAGCTCCTTATGGAACATTTGGATCCTGATGAAGAAGAAGAAGATGGAGAGGTGTCAGCTAGCACAAATGCTCGGAACAAAGCAATTACCTCGCTGCTTGGAGGAGGCAGCCCTAAAAACAATGCAGCTGAGACAGAGGACGATGAAAGTGATGGGGAGGATAGAGGAGGAGGCACTTCAGGGGTGAGGCGGAGGAGGAGTCAACGTATTTCGCAGCGTATTACGTAAAATGATTTTTATGTGCTTATAAATGTCAGTCTATTATATTAAATGTACACCGAGTAATGTAATCCACATGAAAGAAAGCATTTTGTAGATAGAGATTCTCTACTTAACCGTTTATACAACTTTTGTAGAAAGTTTAACAGAAAAGACAATAAAAAAAACCAACAAAAAAAAAAAACAAACAAACTAGAAAATGAGATTTATCCAGTATAAAAAGTTATTAATTTCCTTTGGAATGTACTGTGTGTTATCCTTTTTATTGTTGCCAAGTTTTTATGTAGCTTTATGATTCATGTGTATATATAATTTTATATATCATTAAGAGATAAAGACACGGGTACAAATTAAGAGTATGTGGTTTTACAAGGATATGTTAACCCCTTGGCGCTGGCGGTCGCGGTGCGTCTCATTGCCGGCAATGGAATGTGTGCCGGGAAATCCCAACTCCCGGCGTCAAGGGATTAAAAGCAATAAAAGCAATAATTTCACTAAAGTTCTTTTGTGTAACACATGGTCTTTTTTCCCCCCAATGTTTTAGTCATTGAGAAGGTCAAAACGAAATTCAGACTCTACGGAGTTGGCTTCACAGATGAATGAAAGTGTTGATGTCATGGATGTCATCGCTATTTGCTGTCCAAAGTACAAAGATCGACCACAAATTGCAAGAGTAGTACAGAAAACCAGCAATGGCTTCAGTGTTCAGTGGATGGCAGGCTCCTACAGTGGCTCCTGGACTGAGGCTAAGCGCCGTGATGGCCGCAAACTGGTGCCTTGGGTAGACACTATTAAAGAGTCAGACATTATTTACAAAAAAATTGCTCTAACGAGTGCTAATAAGCTGACTAATAAAGTTGTTCAGACTTTACGATCGCTGTATGCCGCCAAGGATGGAACTTCAAGCTAATGATTTGTACATGCAGCCAAATTTACATGAATTGAAATAACAGAAAAACTTGAAATATCAACTTTCTGGCAAAAAAAAAAAAAAATTAAAAATCAGTTAAATGAAGAGTAAGAATGGAACCTGGGACACAGGAAAAAAAGAAGGAAATGTTTGGTAAACATTTTTGTGGGAGCTTCCTTCGCTGTTGTGCAGCAGAAACTTCTCAGTTCATTTTTACTCCCACTGTATTATAGTTTAACAAAAAATTGTTTATATCTTGAAAAAAAAACTTTCTGTTTAAAAAAAAATAAACAAGTGAATGTTGGAAATTAGTCTGTTAATGTTCTTAATAAAGTGTTCTTGGAGTTTAACCTAGCAGCGGATGGCTTTCTTTAGCTTAGCCCAGTTTCCAGGGAAACATTGTTTTTCCAGGCTGTAAAATGGCAGAATCTCCTGGATATATAATTTATTCTGTTGAAGAAAAAAGAGGAAAAAAAAAAAAAAAAAAAAAGCATGCAGTATCTATGACCTATCTGCAGGAGGAGTTTTTTGTAAATGTAGATTTTGATGTATTAGGTCACCCTGAAATAATACAAGAAAAGGGATCCCCAGCAAATCTGGTGGAACAAATACTGCAATAAATTTTTTTACTTCTCTTTGTTACTTGTCTGTTTCCATTTGAATTTCTTATTGTAAAGATCTGTTTAAATCCATTTATATTATTTTGCAGTCTTTTATGTAAAATTTACTATAGCAGTGGTTTTCAAAACAAGACATAAGATATTGTTTATACAGTTTGTATAGGCTGACTTCTGAATAATTGGTATCTTTTTATTTTTATCCCTTAAAGGGTGTAAACACAAGTTAACTCCAGGGTTTGATTGTATCCTGCAATATTTAGTATTAACTATATGATTTAGCACTGTGCCAAACACATTTTCAAGAGTACATTTTGATATAAAAAGAAACTATAGTTTATTCCTTGTATGCTTCAATTTCTTTCTAATACTGTCCAAATGGTAATTTATGATAGTTTAAGTTTTGGGAAAGTTGAATGACTCTTCTGCTTGGGCTAACTGGCCATGTATGAATCTCTTCGGGTTGGAAAGTAGAGGTTGTGTAAAAAGGAAATAGCTACCGGTATCTGAGGAGTGAATGGATATGGATCTGGGCAATTATGCTACATTCCTTCACAAATGATTTTTTTTTTCAAGTTTGTATATTAGACTTATTTTATTTTCATTTTTTTTAAATTTAAAAAAAAAAAAAAATTACTGTTGAAAGCTTTTGGAAGCATTTGCTTCAATTGCATTGCCTCGAGCCTTTCATGAGTTTGATTTTCTAGATTGCAACAAAAGCAGAAGAGTGCAAAGAAGTTAATCTAAAACAGTAACTTTTTAAAGAGTGTATTAAACCCTGCTGCGTTCCACGATCTGTCATCTAAAACAGGTGTTCTCAGTAAGTTAATATTTCTTTGTGTATTTCCTTCTGCAAACTTCATTTGTGGTAGGATATTTTTATTGAAATCAGTTTGCAGAACTCTCAATGCTTTGTCCAATTTGTGAGGAATAGTAACAGCATTCCAAAATACACTCGAGGACAGAAATGACGTTAAGCTGAAACGATTGATAACTCCTCAGAATCTAGTTAGTAACTGTTCCTGTGGGAAATTCCTGTTTGCTGTTTCACCACTGGAACAGAAATATTTTCCCAGCCTTTTGTCTTCCCTGTTGTTAAGTAGAAAGTTGAGAATACTTGCAAGGGTGAACTCCTGGTGATTGAAGCAAGAACTGCTACACAGATGCAGCCTCAAATCTCTGTCACTCATCTGTTAGGCATTTCTGGTTTATATCAAAGCATCATTTTTCATATGTAATACAAGCATTTCCATGTTCATTAACAGTTTTGTTTTCTCTTTTTTTCCTGGTCATCTGGCTTTCCCAATAGCAAAGAGTTGTGAAGTTTTCGTTTTTTGGGGATTTTTTGTTTTGTTGCTTTCATTTGTTTGGGGATTTTTTTGTTTTGCTTTATATTAATTTGTTTGATATTTATTAGAATAAAATTATCGGTATAATTATAATTAAACTATAAAAAACGGATGTCTAAATTTGTCTTAGTCGAGAAGATTTGAACTGGTTCCATTTTGTGTGATATGCCAAAGGGCACACATGCTCCTTGTGGGGATCTGTTGGCTGTAGCGTAATGCAGACTTATAAAACTAGTTATAGATAATTAAACAAATTGGTAACGTCCTCAATAGTTAAGAGTTGAGTTTTCCCCTTCCACACTATCGATAGTAAGATTTATTGCCACTTTGGCTATCACAGACGTTCGGATTGCTTGTTATGAAAGAGAAGGTTAGCAGGGCTCTTGTTCCCGCTGTCTGTAACGCGGGCTGATGACTTTCAGCCGTGCACAACAGCCGGGGCGCAGCTGCAACCCGCACTGCTCCGCCCTGAGCTGCCGTGCTGGGGAGCAGCAGAAACCTCCCGCGGTTGGCAGCAGCTCCGTGCTGGAGGGTCTTACTATGTTAATTAAAGAAAAAGAAAAGAAAGCGCTGCAGTGCAGTAATTGATAACAATAACAGAATTTACTTCTTTTTTTTTGACATAGCTTGGTAGTATTTTTTCACTGTATGGCTATAGATTTTTACATACATAACGATAATAATTATTGAATTTTGTTATTCTTCTTGCTTTCTCCCTTTGCGTACCAGTTCTGTACATGGAAACTTGTTGTGGTACCGTGTGTAACAAAGGGATGTTGTCAGGCGTTCAGAATGAACACCAGCCATGTTGTACGTAGAGAAAACATGGACACTTCCACGATCTAAATGAAAATGAAATGGTTATTTTTAATCTTCCACCTCAGTACTGTAAAATTCCAGAAATAATTCCTGAATATTTTCATTATCTGCAGCTATAAAAGATCATAATAGTTTTTGACAAAACTTTTAATTACAAATAAGTATTTTTTTAAATGATCCAGTAATGTCCTTCTGTATTTTTGAGGTTCTCTATTGCTTATATCAATAATTAACATGTATAAAGGACAATATTCAGCTTAAGCATTTCAGTGAGGTGTGGCCATTAAAAGGCTATTTAGACTTGCAAAACCTCAGCCAAACCTTAGTGTTTGTTTTGCCACTGTAATGTCACTAGTGAGAATATTGTCAGCGTCGGTTGTGCTCAACATACCTCAAATCTCTTGCAGATCTAACATGGAATAACTTGTAGCACTGAAACAGTTCTAACATGTTTGTGGCTCATGACAAAAAGCTTGTAATAGAGTCTGACTCATCTGGTGCTAATTAAAGAGCAGGGTATTCTGCCTAATGCAGGTGTCAATGTTCCAGGTTAATGAATGGGTCAGTTCAATTGATCCTTACTGTAAAGCTAACAATGCATTTTAATTCCAAGCCACCATTCCAAGGTGTTGATGGAGTTAAATTCAAATAAACATGTATTGCTTTTTGTTCATGTGCCCAGCACTAGAAACAGCAAGAGCTCAAGGCACAAGTCCTGTACCTTAGTTTCTTCCCACTCACTTTAGGGCCACCCCGTAACTGTACAAGTGTTTCCATATCCCTCCAAGAATTTGTCATTAAAGTACTGAGTTGTAATGGTAGGTGAGTTCTGAATGTAAGTTGTGAGTTTTTAGATTTCATGGTTCCTTGACTAAATATTAAAGTATTACTGTTATATACAAATAAATTCATAGTATTTTCATATTTCATTTATTTAAAATAAACGTTTTAAGAGTTCAGTTTGAGCCCTTCCAAAATGACACTTTCAAGTTTTTATCCCAGCCCGCGCCATACACTTAGTTAAAAACCATTCCCATTGTGCTTCATTCATTCTGAGATAATTCTTGCCATTCTGTTGTTGATCAGCTCCACACTGCTTCTAAAACATGATTCAGATGTCCCATTTCCCACTTGAGTTTGGATTTTTTTGTATGAGGAAGGAGTCGTTTTCACTGACATACACTGCAGATACTGATTGTAAAATGTCTCTTCTAAACTTCCTCAGAAACCCTCTTAGCTCATGCATTGGTTTTGAGGCGAATGAGAAGATGAGGGAGGCAACCTGATCCTGTGTGCAACAGTCTGTGCCTTGTGGATGCCTATGCAGGCAACAGGCACCAGTTTGGTGGCTGTGCAAGTCTGTGATGTACATTTTAGCACCCATCTCACTAGGAAAGAGGATCTGCAAGTTCTCCAGGCTACAGCTGGTGACTCAGAGTGGCAAGTATTTCTCAGTATTTCAGGGACTATTTAAACAAACTTGGTTTTCATGAGCTTTTCTGCATAACAGCACTGTCAAAGCTGTGTCGAAAACAAGTATCCTAGTTCCTAGGGGCTAGAAAACAGTGATACAGCTGCTCTTCACCCACCACCCTTCCAGAAATTTGAGAGTTAAGCATCTGCTTTGCAATGTAGCCTGTATTTTGGAAATGGTAGTTATGAGCACCAAATACGTTGCATGGGGCAATTCTTCAGCTGCTATATTTGGATGTACACCGTTCCTTGTCCTCACTCCAATTATCCTTTCTTGTGAATCAGCTCATCCGTGATGAAATTCCACATTAACCATCCCAAGAAACCTCCT